CTGCTGTGAGGTTTGTTCTTTTGTGTAGAGTTTTGTCCTGTCTGATTCTGTTAACTACTATGTCTATGGTTTTTGGGTTGTGTTTTTGTGAACAGGGATGTGACGTCATGTGACATGAGTTTGTCGTTGTCTTCTATTGTAATATTTTTTAGTTCTTTTGCCATTTCTATTCTATTTTTGCAGTGTTGATCTGTGTTACCTAATAACGGGCTGATGACTTTGCTGATATCTCTCGCCATGTTGTATGTTGGTGTACCTATGCTGTCTACTACTGGTCTAAGTGGGGTGTTTTGTTTGTGTATTTTTGGTGTTCCATATATTCTTGGTATTATGTTTGCTGTAGGAATCCAGTGTTTGTACATTTTTTCTGTTATTTTGCCTTTTTCTTGTAGTGGCTTCAGTATTTTTTTCATATTTTTCTTAATGCTTTCTGTTGGGTCTTTTCTAAGTATTTTGTATGTATTTTGTCCTGTATTTCATCTGTAGTTTATATTTTTCTTTGTCCATAACCACTGTGGTTCTTTCTTTGTCTGCCGGTAGAGTAATTATCTGTTCATTTTTGGATAATGCTGTCATGGCTGATTGTTCTACTTTTGTAATATCGCTGTGTTGAATTTGGCTGTTTTTTAATATCCCAACAACGTTATTTCTAAGTTCTGCTTTCTTTCTCTAATCCGTGATCTGTTGACATGCTAGTTCTGTTGCTACGATAAATTCATCACATGATATTTTCTTTGGTGTTACTGCAAAGTTTAAACCTTTCTTTAATATGCTTTCTTCTGCTTCTGTTAGTTTGTATTGTGAAATGTTACATACCCATGAGCTTTGTGTGGAGTTATCTTGTATTTCTTCCCTCTTTTTCTTGTTGATGAGTTTGTTTAACTTCTTTATGTATCTTTCTTTTACTTTAATGAACTCTAATTCCTGTTTTTCCATCATGTGTCCTTTAATTAGTTCCTCTGTTTGTTCATCAAGTTTGTAATTCCTTTTTAAGTCCAGGTGTCTTCTTTCCAGTTCGTTTTCCACTTGCTTCTGTTTGGTTGTGACGTTTCTTATCCTTTCTTTGAGTAGTGCTCTCTGTGCTCTTTCCATTATGTTCTGCGCTGTCTTGGTCCGCATCGGTGTTTTCAGCTGTAGGCTTGTTGGTGTGATGTTTTCGTCCCAGCATCTTAAATTGAAGTTAAGGTGGTTCCTAAGACGTGCGTGTTTTTGATGTAATCATTCCAAACAGCGGAAGTCCTTTGTTCCTTGTTGTCCGTATTTTTCTTTTAACATCTTTGGTGTGTTCTTGCTGTGTTGAGTTTCAAATTCCATCTTTCAGTTCTTTTTAAAACACAGAAAAGGTTTATTTACCTGCAACGTTTCGTTTGCGGCTGCAAACATCATCAGGCTGACGTCAATGGTGGCGTCACTTCCTTTGTTTATCCGCGGGCAGCAGAGGACGTTGTTGCCCTCTGCTGCCCGCACACCAACAAAACCATACAGAACAGTTAGAAACAGACTAGTACACCCAAAAGACAAGATACCAGCTGGACTTAAATGTGGAGTCGTTTACGAAATCCCATGCAAACTTTGCAGTAAAACATACATAGGAGAAACCGGACGCCAACTCAACACATGAACAATAGAACATAGAAAGGAGTGAGAGAAAGAGGCAAGTCGAAAACACACAAGAGCAGCAAAAGAATATGCAGAAAGTACAACAAAGAAGTCAGCCATAACAGATCACTGCACAAGAGAAAACCATGTAATGGACTGGGACAACACAAGGATCATTAACACTGAACAACAGAAATACAAAAGATGGATAAAAGAAGCTATCGAGATAAGGAGATGTGGATGTGAGACCATGAACAGAGACGATGGAGTTTACTCGTTGGATCGCACATGGGACTGCATCATTGGAGAGGGGAGAGCAGGCAGCAGAGTGCGGCAACGTCCTCTGCTGCCCGCGGATAAACGAAGGAAGTGACGCCACCATCGGCGTCAGCCTAATGATGTTTGCAGCCGCTAAAACGTTGCTGGTAAATAAACCTTTTCTGTGTGCTGAGCCCGGCCACCCTACGGAGGAAACTAATTTCGGCCGCTTGTATCCGTGATCTTGTTCTTTCAGTCATTACCCAAAGCTCATAACCATAGTTGACGATTGGGACGTAGATCGACCGGTAAATCAAGAGCCTGGCCTTCTGGCTCAGCTCCCTCTTCACCACGACAGATCGGCTCAGAACCAATCCGCCTGTCGATCTCCCGATCCCTCCTACCCTCACTCGTGAACAAGATCCCAAGGTACTTAAACTCCTCCACTTGAGGTAGGACCTCTTTCCCGACCCGGAGTTGGCAAGCCACCCTTTCCCGGTTGAGAACCATGGTCTCAGATTTGGAGGTGCTGATCCTCATCCCAGCCGCTTCACACTCTGCTGCAAACCTACCCAGCAAGAGCTGAAGGTCAGAGCTGGATGAAGCTAGGAGGACCACATCTTCCGCAAAAAGCAGAGATGAGATTCTCCTGCCACCTAACTCGACACACTCCACACCACGGTTGCACCTAGAAATTCTGTCCATAAAGGTTATGAACAGAACCGGTGACAAAGGGCAACCCCGGCAGAGTCCAACCCTCACCGAGAACAGGTCCGACTTACTACCGGCTATGCGGACCAAACTCATGCTCCTCTGGTAAAGGGACTGATTGGCCCTTAACAAAAGGCCACCCACCCCATACTCCTGGAGCGTCCCCCACAGGGTGCCCCTGGGGACACGGTTATAAGCCTTCTCCAAATCCACAAAACACATGTGGATTGGTTGGGCAAACTCCCATGCCCCCTCCATCACCCTTGCAAGGGTATAGAGCTGGTCCACAGTTCCACGGCCAGGACAAAAGCCACATTGCTCCTCCCCAATCTGAGATTCAACTATCGATCGGACCCTCCTCTCCAGTACCTTGGAGTAGACCTTTCCAGGGAGGCTGAGGAGTGTGATCCCCCTATAGTTGGAAGACACCCTCCGGTCACCCTTCTTAAAGATGGGGACCACCACCCCGTTCTGCCACTCCACAGGAACTGTCCCCGATGACCACGCAATATTGCAGAGATGTGTCAACCACGACAGCCCTACCACATCCATAGCCTTGAGATACCCAGGATGAATCTCGTCCGCCCCCGGGGCTCCGCCGCTGTGTAGTTGTTTGACTACTTCAGCAACTTCTGCCCCAGAGATTGGACAGTCCATCCCCAGGTCTCCCGGCTCTGGCTCCTCCTCGGAATGCGCGTAGGTGGGATTAAGGAGCTCCTCAAAATATTCCTTCCACCGCCCGACTATAGCCTCAGTTGATGTCAGCAGCTCCCCATCCCCAATGTAAACAGTGTGAGCGAGTTGCTGCCTTCCTCTCCTGAGGCGCTGGACAGTTTGCCAGAACCTCTTTGGAGCCGATCGATAGTCTTTCTCCATGGCCTCACCAAACTCCTCCCATTCCCGAGATTTTGCCTCGGCAACTGCCACTGCTGCACCCCGCTTGGCTATCCGGTACCCGTCTGCTGCCTCCGGAGACCCACAGACCAGCCACGCCCTCTAGGCCTCCTTCTTCAGCCTGAAGGCTCCCCGAACCTCTGGTGTCCACCAGCTGGTACAGGGGTTGCCATCACGACTGGCACCGGCCACCTTGCGACCACAGCTTGCAACAGCTGCCTCAACAATCGCAGAGTGGAACAAGGCGCAGTGGAAAAATGTTCCAGAATAAAACCGAAAACAGCTAAATGAATGAAGAATCACTCACCACCAAGTGGGCCGTTAACTTTAGGCTTACGGTTGTATTAAATTGAGAGCCTGGATTGAAAATTACCCTCCTGTCCAATTAAAATATGACCTGCTTTTCCTTCCTTGACTTTGTATTCATTGTGACAACCTACAAGAAGAAGCTAATAGGAGCTTTCAGAAGAAGACAGCTGATCGCTCCAGGGCTTCACATTTACTCATTTGCAGATCATGTCGGATATAAGCTTTGAGTAACTCTGTTCGCTGGTGCATCACAGCCCTGAATACCCAGTGGGAGATAAAGACATGATCCTAAATGGGCTGCGGCACAGAAAAAAAAGTTTAATCTCTTTTTCTTTTAATAAGGCGCCAATCAACAATTGTTTCACCCATATAATTTCCAATCCAGCAACGTAAAAGTGTCTTCTCATGCTGTCAAAAAGGACAATTGACTCTAGTGAAGACAGTTGTACCATCTTTGTCCTCCATGTGCAGTCCCTAAAGAGACAGCGACAGGATTTATACACAACAGTTACGGGCTGAATGTGAAAGATCAGTTCAATAAGCGATGCTAGGAAGCTGTTAGCTGAAACCCAGCAGGAAAACGCTGGTTTGGAATGTCCACCAATCTTTATTATTTAATGAATAAAGATGCTTTTATGAGTAAAACATCTCTGTGTTCATGTCAGCGACTGCAGATTTCCTGCCTTTGCCTCCCTGCCTGTAAACAAGTTGAATTTCAGTGCAGCAAATCACAGTGAGTGTCAGTTTATTTTTCCTCCTTTTTATCACATCTCAGTCCCAGGAGGAAACAAACCATCCTTTTATAGCGATGAAAGGCTCCCTGACTCAGATCACAGCTGAGGGCCCCCATCACTCTTGTTATTTTTGATGCTTCAGTCCCACATCATCAATACAGCCCCCTTGTATTAACAGTAAAGTGCGAGGTCAGTCCTTTTCACTTTCAGAAGGTTTTTCAGCGGTGAAATGACATGTAGCGTGTCCTCCCTCCTCTTTTCCTCAGGCCTTTGCTCAATCCTGATTCCTGACAGAATAGTTTTGGGTCTTTCTTTTCTTTCTGTCAAATACTTGGCACCTTTTGTGTTTTAACAGCATCAGTTATAATACATGTGTCGCTATCGGATTACAATTTAAAGAACACGTTTGTTCCCCAAACAGATATTTGTGGGATTTTGTCATCTTAATTCCAGTTTGTTTATTCCAAGCCAACATTCTTGTGTTCTCTCTTGCAGGGAACATCAATGACTGCAAGCTGCACTACTACTTCTTCCTCTTGGCGGGGATCCAGGGCATCACCTTGCTGGTCTTTCTTATTGTTTCTGTTAAATATGACAGGCAGAAGGGCAGAGCAGTGAGACAGAGACACACCTCCTCCTGACCTCCACAGCACGCGTCCCAGTGACCCCAGTACTCCTTCCCCCTCCTCTCGTGGATCCCTGTGCCAAAAAGCTCCTGTAGAATAGGTACTTACCTGTAGAATAGGTACTTACCTGTAGAATATGTACTCACTAATGATACGACAGCAGCATGGGCTTTTATTGTCACAATTGTACAATTATTTATGGGTCTTTTAGCTTCCCATTGAGGGGTTATTTTCTCCTGTCTCACAAGACTCTCTCTCTCTCTCTGTCTCTCTCTCTCTCTCTCTCTCTCTCTCTCTCTCTCTCTCTCTCTCTCTCTCTCTCTCTCTCTCTCTCTCTCTCTCTCTCTCTCTCTCTCTCTCTCTCTCACACACACACACACACACAAACACACACACACACACCTGCTGTTTGCTCTTGTTTCCTTTCTTTGATCATTTGCACTAAACTTGAGGAGTGGTGCCATAAAAATGTGATAGATTGATATTTTCTAAACATATAAATGAAGGTTTTATATTTAGATTTGTCATTTTTTTATTAAAAACATATTTTATACATTTCATCTAATATCCCAATTAGTTATTAGTACTAATCATCTTTTTATTACAGGTTATAATTAAGCACTTAACACAGCTAACCTGGAACTGTGGTACTTTAGCATCGGCTGTTTTTACACTGTGTCATATGAAATGGTAATTTAAAGGTATGGAACACTGAAAAACAATTTTTAATTATTATTTTTGAATTATAATCGCTCACTCCAAGTTTTTCATGCAGGCTAAACATGCTAATAGTCTCCTACACCTATCTCCTGCATTAGTTTCCCCATCTATTTACTATTAGAAAATTTGCAGAGCAAATAGGGAGCCTAAGTCTCCTCCCTTTCCGGTCGGCCCATGGGTCCCCGGAAGAACGAAAAAATGAATGCATCAACGGGGCTAAAAATGCTATTTCCTAATCGGCTTTGCTTTACGCCCTGGATCACACATATGTTGTACTGCAATTTAAATGAAAAGTAATGATGGGTGTTTCGACCATGCCAGTCACATACTTTGAGATTTATCAGCTTGTAAAAGCTCATAATTACTGTGATTACAAATCAGAAATTGGCACGTCGGATATGTGACGTCACCACATAATCTCCTCTCCCCTAGCGTAGCTGCTACTTACAACATGACCAGATTTATGGTGGTTCTTTCCTCCTGTGGGAAGTTTGCTGAACTTACAGACCTTTTCTCTCAGATTTCTCCGTGTCTGGTTCGATGACGTCACTTTACTGAAGTGCAGTTGTAGTGCTGGACTGATTTTCACACAAAACCTAAAATATAATTTTCCCCTGTTCGAAAATAAGCACGTTCTTGGTATCAAAATGTGTCTTTGAAATTCACTGACATCATATATGAAATCCATGCCACAAAGCAAGCGGAGTTAGAAAATAGCGTTTTCAGCCCCATTGACTTGCATTCACTTTTTCGTTCTTCTGGGGACCCGTGGTCCGTAAATAGATAGGCATGACTTAGGCTCCCTATGGAGTCAGTGGTAGAGTCGCGTTGCTGTTTTCCAATCCAAGGCGAGATGTCCAAATATCAGGAAATAAGACTCCAAATCTCGCCTCGTTCAGCTTTCCTCTGATGTGGCTTTCTGCTAGTTCCTGAAACAAACACATCTGAGCTACCCCCGCCCCAATTACGACTTGCAAGACATTCATTCCTTCTGGAGACCACTGCAAATGCATAGATTAAATAAGTGTTCAACACCTTCTATTCCAGATTAAAGGTAACTTTATGCAGCAAATTCCTGAAGGTACTTTAGCTAAACTTACACAAAGACTTACAGTTTAGTATTTTCATTTAAATAATTCATTCTTTTTTTTTAAATCCAATGTTAAAATCTAATATTGAGATAGAGAAAAAAATCTTCCCCAATAATTGTCCTGCCGCTTGTAGCTAAACTGCAAATAGCCACAAATCCATCTATAAGTCTGCTGTAAATCCTCACATGGCTCCACATCTGAACAGTGACGACTTAATGTTAAAAACACTGCCTGAAACTCCCACGGGGCTTCTGGGTAGTTTTCATAACAGAAATCTTAGCCCCTCCCATCAGGATAATAAACCAATTAGAAACAACCCAGCTAATTGCAAATGCTAGAAATGACTTGTCACACTAAACATGTGGATCATTACAAACCAGAGGCTTTTCACTTACATAAACCATTTTTATCATTGCTGTATTTAGCATTTATTGCACCAAATCACAACTGTCAGTATTATCAATTATTTGCTGTAATATTTTGTTTGAAGACGCTTTTTTTTCTATATTTATACGACTGTGATGCATTTGCTTTAGCTTTACACTGTAAAGTGCCAATGTGTGTCTTTTTTCTCCAACCTTAGATGAATAGATCATAAGTTACAGAATTTTATTATGAGAAAACTCTCAGGGCTTTAGGAATAATGTCATGTAATAAAGAGTTACTCCAGGAAATATAAAACTCCAAGTCGTATTTATTGTCTGCTGTAAGTAAAGTCACAGTAAAAGTAACAGCATGTTTAAAAAGCCTGAGTCGTTCTCCTCCCTGGCAGCGTCAGAGGAGCTTCACAGGAGTTTTAGTTTCAAAATGCTAAAAATCTGTTCTTTCTTTTGCTTTGTATTTTGTGTTTACTTCCTTTCACATATCTATTATTTTAAGATTTACTGTTCATTTTAAAATGAGGTTTTCAAAATAAAAGAGAGCTGGAATTCTGTTTTAGGTTTAACTTTAATAAATGACATTGTTCTAAACTTTGGTTGTTTTATGCCTTTAACATCCAGATACTAGTTCTCCCTCACCACAACTAGGCTAACAGGTTTGCTTTTATGTGTTTTCTGTTTTTAAATGTGCGTATTATTTTTTTTAGAATTTTGTAATTTCAAAACAGAAATAACTGTTTTTATTACCCTGAAATAAAAAAATAGAGTAATTGCCCGTTTAACTATCCGTCTGTTCCATTTTGAAATGACAGATGTAAACAAAGTGTCAGAAATCAGTCCATCCGAGCAGTCGAGGTTTTGATGCAGGCAGAATGGTGATGCTGTCCTTTAATCACAGTAGTGCCACTTTCATAATTACAGTGGTGGATTGTTGCTCCTAAGGCAAAACTCAAAAGTGCCTAAATTAATAAAATTACAAAAAAAGAGAGAAAGTGGCAGGCTGGCAGGAAAAAGGTTGTTAACTCAGAGGTGTAAAGCTGCGTTTTGTTCTCCCATTGGGGAATAGACTGCGTATTTCCTCTTAGTTTCATCAGAAACAGGTTGAAATCAGTGCCATCGCACATCATTTTTTTTATGCGATGGCCTTCCAGAAAAAGCTCGGAGACAACCACTTCCTGTTTAATTTGGTCAGAGAGCTGCACAGCCGACACTGAACAGACGGCTTGATGTTTGAAACTTACACAACACTTCCGGGTTGTCATTCAGAGTGGTGGCCGTTCGTGCTGAGGGAGAATTTCTGACACGTCTGCTAAGAGTTTAGGGTGATTTATGGACTAGAATTGAAGTTCCCATGGAGAACACATTCTCTGTATGCCTCTATACACACTGCTACTGTCTTTGTTTGTTTTACCCTTTTACTGCACTTTTAAGGCTATGTGAAGCCACTGTTTTTCATCCATAGAAAATGAATGCTTGTAAGATTAAACTAAATGGCTGTATTTGTGTGTGTGTGTGTGTGTGTGTGTGTGTGTGTGTGTGTGTGTGTGTGTGTGTGGGAAATGGAAAAGAGCAGATAAAAACAAACGCCTCCCAAATAAACAAATTCAAAATTGAAGCTTATGAACTGTGAGGTCACTAAAGACAAAACAAAGATGAGTGTAAAATAGATTTTTCCTGTTTAGGTGATACAGTAGATAAGCCAACAGACAGACCTGGACAAAGGTGTTGGTAACCTTCGGTCAATGAAAGAGAAAGCCACAATGGTCACAGAGTTGACTTGAATCTAACAAAAGTAGTAATAAATAAATTAATTATGAAATGTAACCAGTGAAAGTCAGACATTGCTTTTCAACAATTCTTCAATGGAATTATTTAAAAAAATAAACTCATGGAACAGGCCTGGACAAAAATGATGATACCCCAACCTAATATTTTGTTGCACAACCTTTGGAGGCAATCACTCAATTCCTTTAACTGTCAATGAGATGTCTACACTTCTCAGCAGGTATTTTGGGCCATTCCTCATGAGCAAACTGGTCCAGTTGTCTCAGGTTGGAAGGGTGCCTTTTCCAGATGGCAGGTTTCAGCTCCTTCTAAAGATGCTCAATCGGATTGAGGTCAGGGCTCATAGAAAGCCACAATTAGAATAGTTCAATGTTTTCCTCTGAGCTATTCTTGGGTTATTGTTCATGACCTGCGACTGAGACCAAGCTTTCTGACACTGGCCGGCACATTTCTCTCTAGAATCCTTTGATGGTCTTGAGATTTCATTGTACCCTGCACAGATTCAAGTCACCCTGTGTCAGATGCAGCAAAGCAGCCTCAGAGCATAACAGAGCCTCCTGCAGCCACATCCAGGGAGGTTGGCTACAGTCCCAGGGATCTTAAATTTCTGAATAATATGTGCAACAGTAGTCACAGGAACATCTAGTTGCTTGGAGATGGTCTTATAGTCTTCACCTTAACATGCTTGTCTATGACTGAGACAACTCTTTCCTTCACTTCCTCTGGTCCATGGTGAGTACCACCATGTTTGGTGACATGTTGGTACTCACCATGTCACCAAACAACACAGTGACTACCTGGAGCCCTGTATAGAGAGGCCTCCTGACAGTTTACAAGATTGTAGATACCTGTGATGCTAATTAGTGGACACACCTTGAATTAACATGTCCCTTTGGTCACATTATTTTCAGTCTTTTCTAGGTGTACCCTCATTTTTGTAATTCTGTTGAAGCAGGGTTGAAAAGCAATGTCTGATTTTCATTGGTTAAATTTCTTTAAATTTTTCTTAATTATTCCTTCGGTCTGATTAAAGTTATTTCTGTGACTACTCTGGGTTTGTTAAGTTTGATTATATTCTTTCTCCCATTCATTTAGATGATCATGTTTGTTTTATTGTATTCTCCTCTGCTTTAGGATTGGCCTTAGCATCCCTTTGTGCCTGCTACCTTTTACCCTTGGGTTTCTCTTAGTTGTCTTCCCCATATTAGTTTTTAGTTCTTCCCTCAGTCCAGCCTTTTTCCTAGTGCTCATTATGTTTTCCTGCTCCTTATTTCCTGTTTAGATTATTATCATTGTCACTCGGGCCTTCAGTTTGTTTTATATCCTTGGGTTATATTATCCACATTTGGTCTCTCCCCGTTTATTTCAGCCTTTAGTTTCTAACATAGTTTAATTTTAGTTTATTGAGATTTATTGTTGTCTTCTTCAGTTATTTTGTGTTTTCCTCCTCAGTTATTTAAACTCAGTCTGTAGCCATTGTTTTTCGGTTCCTTTTGTTATGTTTGTTCCTCCTGTACGTGTTCCTGACCTTACTGGTTATAATAAATAGATCAAAGTCATTTACCTGGCTGCTCCCTGCGATGGACTGGTAACCTGTCCAGGGTGTACCCCGCCTGTTTTCCCAGAGACGCTGGAGATGGGCACCAGACCCCCATGACCTTGCATGGATAAATGGGTACAGAAAATGGATGGATGGATGGATACTTGTCTACTACCTGAATGTCCTGCATTTGGGACCTACCTCAGCAAACAGCTTTGTGACAATAAGGACCTTCTACTGGAGAAACACGGAGGTGGTGGTATCATAGAAAAGGGTTTGATACAATGGTTCGAACAAAAGGCTCTAAGCTCAGAAGCTGAATTCAGCTGACCGTATGAAGCACTAATCTACGTAAAAGAAAAGAAAATTAAAGGTAGAAGATGGCTTGAAAGCAAGCTAGTTTCTTCTGCTCAGTCTTTTATTTTTAAATAATTTGTTGTTCTAACTTTTTATTTTACTGCATATGAAAAGTATATTGAATTGTCTGTATGAAACATGCAATACCCACCCCCCACCCCCCTCTTCAGACAACAACCTGACAGACCGCCCTGCCTCTGGATCTTCCACTCTCTCTTTCCTGTCATTAGTTCAGCTGGGTTCCCTTTCCAACATTTTCCAATTAATTGTTTACTTTGTGTTTCAAGAGAACTACTTGGTATCAAACAAACTGCCATAAAGAGAGGGAATAGCAACTGTGTGCCTTCCCCTGACTTTATTAAGGCCTTTGTCCGGCTGTGTGTGTTGTTTTGGGACCTTAAGGAGGTCTAATCTGCAGGATGTTAAGCTGCTTTTAATTGCATTACAGACTCTTACCTATGTAATGAGCAGCTCACAGATGCTCCCAAAGATGTTGCTCCAGTAATCAGAGGATTAAAAAGTGTCATCACATGTTAATTAGCATGAGCTAATTAATTTTCAGAAAAAGGCCAATTAGTCAAATCAGCTATCTTCAGTAAGTAATCATCCGTATTTACACGAGGCCACTGAGTTATCGGAGCGGTTTGATTAGAGCGAAGATGAGGCATGCGGCATCACCCAGACCTGCCAATGTTCTGCTCCTTGAAGGGGATTACAGCTGTACAGATACCGTATATAGAGCTCCTCACTGCCCCATGTTCTGCAGAATTTGTTCTTGTCACTTCAGACAGTTTTCTGCAGGACTGAGCACAAAAACCAATAAAAAATGTTCGTTCAGACACATCATCTGTGAAATAAGCAACCGTAAAGCACTTCGATAGCAGGCATTTATCTGGATTTATGGCACCAATTCTGATTATTACAAGCAGGCCTTGTAGTTTAGAGCCTCTTATTTGTTCAGAATGTGACTTGACTCCTATAAAACAGTGCAGGTAGCAAGATAAATCTCTTATCGCCTTGCTGCCAGGTGTATCTTTGTGGCCCTCTGACCTTCTGCTCTAAAAGGTATCTAAAAAAATAGTCTGTCTCAGAGAGCTGCTTGATTTGTTGTTCCCTTGTGCATTTTGCCCTTTTTGTTTTTCTGGTCCAACATATCAGAATGCCTTTTTTAGTGATATCTAAAACTTTATTGCCTACTGAAGTTTATAGAGCGTGTTGTTGGAGTTTTGAGTCAATGCTGATATTTAGTTTATGTTGACCTGTGTGGGGTTCTGCTGATTTTACTTTCTGCACCAGTCAAGGACAGACCTTTGAAGATGACAAAGTACACACTCTGGACAGGGAAGTTAGATGATTTGAGAGAGGAGTAAGGAAGCAATCTATGTCAAATGTGAAAAAACTATTTTAAATAGGGGAGGGGGGCTTAGATATTCACCTTTGCAGTAACACAGCTTTGAATCTCATTCCTAAGCAGTTTCCGTTTAGGTCACACCTTCTTGAATCTTATCAACACGACTCCCTCACAATAGCGGCTAACCACTTTTCAGGGCATAGGGGGGAGGGATATTCAAAGTGAGTTTCTGCTCATTTAACAACAATAGACAGTTACAGCTTATAAACTTGACTCTCCCATATTCCAGTCAGAATTGACAAAATTCCTCGGATGAGAAGTGAAATGTCTTCAAGCAATCAAAGAAGTTCAGTTGCCTTCATTTGAACCCTTTTGGATTACCATGACCTGGACGACTGAGAACCTTCACCAGCATATTCAGCGTCTATGTGCCTAACTGTTAGCGATCAAATGGAAAACAAAACACACAGTTTCACATTTTCCAGTAACTAAAACGTAATAGTACATTGTTTTATTTTAAAGCCCAATTAAAAACCACAGTAGATTGTCTCTTGGCTCAATTGTGCTTTTGTAGTTTTAATCTTTTTTTACATATATTTTCAGAAACCCAAAACATCTCTATTTTGTTTCCATCAAAAATAGTTGAGTACACGTTCTGGAAGCAGTCAATATGTGTATTTCATACACTATGATTGAGCTATTATCCATCTGAGGAGGTTGACAAGTGCCAGCACGAATGCTGCTGTTTTTTTTTTTTCCTTCTATGTGTTGGACAGTGTCCTGACATCTTCTATGACTGTCTGGTATGGGAACTGCCCTAATGGTTCAACGGAGTGGTTAGGTAGGGTGTCTATTCAGTCTCATAAAACCGAATCTTCAAAATTTTCTCAAAGTGATCATTAAAAACAACATGGCTGATGACAGAAAGTTGGCTTTTCACATCAGCAGCATATGAATATTTTTCCATACCATTGTAATTACAAGCACTGACGAGTGAAAAAAAACTATTTTTCCCCATCTTCTACTTGGACATCCAGGCTTCCATAGCAGCTCTTTTCTGCCTTTATAGCAGCAATACTTATTCATGTTTTTACTGATAAAAGTAATAGAATATTATGGTTTTAGGTCTTTAATAATGGCCTTAAGTTATTTCATTATTTCAGGGTGGCTTCAGCTACCCCTTGTTAGCATCTAGCATGGAAAGGATGCGATCCGGTTTCCTTAAAACTTCTGGACGCACTGCTACAGACGGCGGATCATCTCCAGATATCTACTTCCACAAGAGCTGGCAAAAATAACAGGTTTTATTTTGAAATATACTGGATGTACCTCACGGTTCCACATCTCACTTCCTTTTAGGCTCAAGCAATTTCTTTAACTTCATGACAATCTGCATGCGGTGTCTGGATAAAATAGACTCGATGCAGGAACTTTCCAGAGCTCTGCATCCGCCACACCACAGCCGGCGAGAACGCTCTGATAAGACTAAATGATTTTAGGTCTACGAGAAAGCCACAAGAAAACCAGACCAAATCTTTTCCATATGCGCTGTGAACAAGGCTTTACACGTTCACTCGTGTTTCTAATGTTGTTGAATAAGAAATAAATCAAAATTCCAAAAATTGAAGCAATGCAAAAAATAAATAAAAAAAACTGTCTGGTGTTGATAAGTGATCACTTTAACTATTACATAAAGTAACTTGATCCTGTGCAGAGTTGTAGGAAGTAGAAATCATTTTTACCCCGCTGGTTGGAACCCTAACCCATCTCCCACCGGTTACTGTGCGTTATCGTTGGGTACAAATGGGGGCACGGTTTAAATGACATACAGCGAGGGTATCAATGAGCAGTTTTATAACAGTCTTTTGAGCCTTATCTTTTTGGAGCTTTGTCTTTGTGTTACATATAACTTAGTGAAAAGATGGTCCCTTCTGTGTGTGTGTGTGTGTACCCCACCTGTGATGTACTGCTCAGATTGTATTTCAGGACACACACTTTGCACAGGGGTGTTTTTATGAACAGTGCTGTCTTTACTGTAGGTCCCTGTGGAATCATCTGTAAAACACTTGGTCAGCCCAGCGTGTCGGCCTGACCTTGTCGGGTCCTGCTCATTCGCTCCCCTCCAATGTTGCATTTGTGTGTTTTCAGCTGTTGTAAAACTACTGCGAACCAACTTTTAAAAGGAATTCAAGGAGGCAACATAAATCACACAGCGAATAATTATTTGGAAATTGTAAATGCGGGCCTCGCACATTAGGACCACAGGGAGCACAGCCAACCATTAGTAAGAGTTTGTTGGTCTCACATCATCAATTTAATTAAAAATCCATTTAAGATGAAAGCCTGGGGAGATTCTTTCTCTCTCTCTCCCTTTTCCTTTCAAGGAAGTCAAGACTTCAAGGCCAACAAAACTGAGTCGAGTTACCCCACCGGAGGATCGGAAGTGAATTCAGTCATACATCCTGCCACATCCCAGCAGGTGCGAACACATCTAAAGCTCAGGAGGATAAACACGGTGGGTCTTTACTGGCCTGCGTTGCTCTGTTCCTACCTGCAGAGGCTGACGCCATCGATGATGGTCATGGTAACAATCACAAAGGTGTTTTAATTACAAAAGACCCCCATCAATCTTGTGGCTGACTGTTAAAGTCATCCCATAAGGCTCTTCTCAGGGTGAGTGCAGCAGCTCCAATCCCCGCACGCTGCACACAGACGGCGACTTCATTCCCCATGGCTAACGGGGGGCCAGCAGGAAAAATGGGAATAGATCAGGAGGAAAGCTGCATGAGAATGCACCACAAACACAACAGTCCTGAATTTAGATCTTACATTTTTGTAAATAACTTTGTCTTACTGTTGTCATACTGATCTCTGTTTCCTTTGTAATTTAGCATTGAAGACAGTTTAAGCTCCAATTTTAGGGTCCTTAAGCCACCTTGACAAAGCTGCATGCTTTCCAGTTTTAGACACTTAAAAAAACATAAATGTTTTGATTTCACTAGCTTATTTTAATTGACTAGTTGTTGACGAAACAATTGTATTTTCTGCTACCAACCCTAAAGATTATGAAGCAGAAATCTACCTTAATCTGAAAGGCTCAAGTTTTTCTGATTACCAATTAGATCCCATGTTCTAACAACCAATGAGAGCATTTTTCTGCTTCATGAGGAATAACACACAATTAACCAACCCCACTGAGAAGATAATAACATCCAGTGGAAAATAGAGAAATAATTTCTCAGATGAATGCTTTTGCTTAGAGTGTAATAAGACGTGATTATTATTATTAGTGCAATTATCTGCACGTTTGGAGGAAAACAGAGAAACGGTCTACATTTTGTACTGAAATGATTTCTTATATTCCAGCGCGCTCTGAGTGAATTCTGATTTGTCCTTTATTTGTTCTGCTACTGAAGGACCGTCGAGACATTAAAAGTTATTTTCAAAAAGTGACAAACTCACAAACCTCAAAATTGTGAGGGGGTTGTGTGAAATTTCACATTATCACATTGTCAAGCGTTTTAGTTTGAAAGCTCCTACACATTCACGCCCTAATGGACAAGATGAATTTCCTTCCACTGCTCACCTTGGACAGACGTTTGTGGTTAAAATGCATCTCATAAACTAGGCTTCCTGTCAGCCATCTTTACCTGCTGAGAATGCAAATGAATGGCCTTGTAGATAGTGCAATCAATAAATGCTGCTACACACGCTTGACACTGTTGTGTATTCATTAATTGTTATGAAAATACATTATACAGAGCAACAATACAATGGTTTAGAGACTGTTTTGTTTTTACATAACAGATTTCTGCCTTGCTAAGGAGGTTTATTATTATTTTCTTAAAAAAGGGAACTTGTGCCTGTATTTTACCCATCGGCATGCAGAAATCCCTCTCGGCCTGCTTTGACCTTTTCTAGAATTCTTCCACAGAAGGAGGACGTACAAAATTTCTATGCAATGTGATACAAAACTTCCAAAACCAGCTCGTGTGCACACGTGTTCTGAATGTATCCAAATCCATCAGAATGCCACATGAATCCTGGACTCAGTACGTTGTTCAAAAGTCTGCAATAATAACAGAGCTAATGGGAAAAGATCCACCTGGTCTCCTCATATGTGTCAGTGGAATCCTCTTCGTCTGATTGGCCCGTGGCAGTTTGGGGTGATTCTGTGTTAAATGTCCTCCTCTTCCACTTGACAGGGGTCTGCTAAGACCCACTTTCCTCTGGAAGGCAAAAGGGTGAAACAAGTGCACAGTTTATTATGCCGCCTCTTTTAAAGCACTGTCATTTAAACTTTCCATGTAATTGCGCAGCTCCTTTGAGTCTCCCAGCTGCACGTCTTGACACACCCACTTAATATCCTGGCCGTGGGCTCCAGTGCGTGTGTTGACGGTGGTGTAGCTGCTGTCTGATGTAATAGCGGTGAATGTAGTGAACTTGACTCTTTTCCTCTTGGTAGTGGGGGAGTCTCCTTTGCTGTCCTTCACTGTGTCTGCCGGCCAGTGCACCTGTCCCTGCACGTTCTTCTGGACCGAGCCTCCGTTCAGCAGGTGGCTGCCCTCCTCAATACCGCTACTCGAGTCCATCATGGAGGTCTGCTCTTCCTGCTGAGGGGCAAGGCTGATTTGGCTCTCTAGCAGCTCTGCCTCATTGCCAAGCCATACCCAGTCATGGGCATGGTTCAGGCTCTCCTGGCCCTCAATGGAGAGCTCCTTGTGGCGGTATTTGAGGGTGTAGGAAATGCAGTTAATAAGAAAGACCAGAATGGCGAGGCAGAAAACCCCCAGCAGGGCGTACATGCCGATTTCTAGGTCGGTGAGCCCGCGACCGCTCTGAATGAGGTCATCTTCCATGTTGTGTCCATGTGGGAGATCTACTTGTGCAGGTGAGTCAGCAAAGTCAATAGGCGTGTTCTGGCTACCGTCATCTAAAAGTTTACCACCGTTAGGTCTGCGTATTATTGCGCTTCTGGTAGTGGTTGCTCTCCTCAACACCCCATCCTCTATGTCAGAGATGGAGCTTCCGTAGTAGTGCGAGTCGGGACCAGTCCTGTCCTGTGAGGAGGACAGCCTGTCTCTGTTCCCCACATCATCTCCGTCTGGGCTGTAGTCACCACCCCCTCCCCTGGAGCTGTCACTAGAACCAAACTTCACCCTGACATTGCAGTTCCCTGCTGCCAGGATGCTGCGGCGCTTGAACTTCTGGCAAACTTCGCAAACCGTCATTTCCACCCTGATGAGCAGACCTTGTCCCTCCGCCTGTGTCACAATGACAGGCCATTTCCACGAGGGGTCCTGCTGCACCGTCACCACCTCCTCGTCCAGGGAGGTGGCTGTCAGGACAAAGAAGTCTGGATTGTAGAGGTCTAGAGGAGCTACGGAGCCATCGCTGAACTGGAGCCAGGCACTGATTAGGGCCTCCTATAGAAACATACACAGACAACACAGAAAAGAAATAGAAGCACATAACAATCAAATATGCTTTAACATTATTAATCATAATGCACATTAAAATGAAAAGTACTGAATTCAAAATCAGTTCAATAAACTGGCAAAAAAAATCAAATTTTTATTAGGCCTGTTATATTAGATCTTCCTGCTGGCTGATTTTTTAATGTCTCAGGAAGAAATTAATGAAATGAAATGAATCGTTAAACAAATGAAAATAAAGCCTATTATGAGATTAGATCTTGATAAACTAACTCTGTGTTAAAAAGGAAAAAGATGAGGAGAGCAGATCAAACTGTGACATCAAACAAAGCTCACGCCAATAGGAATCTGTCACATATTTGCTTCTTGCCACTGAAGCTGCACAACTCGCCTTTTAATGTTGCCGAAGGGCAAATCCCAGAAGAGGAAGAAGTAGCCATCCCACTGTGGTCTGCAAATGTTCCCTAATTACTATCACCAGAGGAGTAATGGAGCAGCATGGCCCGCTTATCTTCACACTGAGCTTAAAGAGATGGTGCAGATAAACGTGTGCTGCCTCCATCATTGGAGGAAGAGGAGCAGCTTAGAGGACTCATGAGAGGACTTGGTCAAAGAGAACAGCCTTTGGTTTGCTTTGGAAAATTAGACAAAGCAAGCGAGATAGAATGGCTACACTCTTTTATTTGCGTGGTAGTTGTCACACTCCTACTCTCACGCCTGGAAATTGGGACTACCAGAGATGATGTGGAACACACACACACACACGTGTGTGTGTGTGTGTGTGTGTGTGTGTGTGTGTGTGTGTGTGTGTGTGTGTGTGTGTGTGTGTGTGTGTGAGTAGAAGCTTGGCATCTAAAACTGCCCCTCCCTGGGATCTGTGGGGGAAGGGCCTTTTAGTTTGGAATACTCACCATCTTGGCCCAAACAAACACAAAAACTCTTTTTCCTTTTAATTAAATGGGCAATTTTAAACACTAGGGGATAATGATTACTGTGCAAAATTAACATCGTCCTCTGTGTTAATCAGACATGCTTAAATGGCATGCAAATAATTATTGGTGTTTGTGTTTGATTGATTACATTAAAATCAGTGCAAGTTTTACTGAAATGAAACTAAGAGAGAAAAGAGATGCAGATTATAGCTTAGTCCACCCTGGTATCATCCATCCAGATATTATCTTATATTATCTTATTCCTCCCCAGGGTCACGGAGAGCTGGTGCGCCTACAGCAGCCATCCGATGAGAGGCTAGGGGCACCCTGGACAGGCCTCCAGTCCAACACAGGGACACAAAACCATTCACACACTCAAAATGACAATTTAGAGTCACCAATTCAACTAACACACATGCTTTTGGTCTGTGGGCAGAAACTGGAGCACACGTGCATAGAGACAACATTTTAACTCCACACCAATAGGATTTGAACCTGCCACCTTCTTGCTACAACAGCCAGAGCTGGCCCAAGGCATACGCGAGTTAAAGTATCTTTCCAGAGCTTTTCCCTTTCAGAAATTATGTATGATTTTTCAGAAATCCGTAAAAGTGACTATCTTATCATGTACTGTGATATAATGTGAACAATGCATCCTGTTTATTTTTAATTATTTTGCTAAGCACGCCCCCTGCCCCGCAGATCTGCATGCAAATAGGAAACTGAGCGCCGACCAGAACTAACCAATAGCGTTAGACCACCGCTTACATGCTTCCAATTTAAGGAAGTACCTCGGCTGATGCAGAGTTGGTGAACTTTTCACCAACAAGTATGTGTTTAAAATATAAATATATGAGAACACAACAAGACATGAGAGTAGTACTTGTAAAACAGAGGCACATTTATAAACAAGAAATGTGAAGTTGCCATCTTAAAAAAACGGATCAAGAGACTATTTGTGTGATTTGCTTGTCGGCCACTAGATGGTGCCATCGGACAAGAGAAATACTCTGGAAAGAAATTTTAAGCTACTGCTTGGGGCACCCGCACCAGCAGGGAGATCTCGAGAGCACCAAGATAGCAAAAAGAAAATGTTTTAATAACTTAAAGTGAGGGTCAAGGCCTGGTTGGAGACGTATTTCATCCACACTTCCTGTTAGGAAAACACTTCTGAAAGAGACGTCGCCTGGTGGACCGAGAGAGCGTCTCTGAGAAAGTGGTAGACCGCACCCTTCTCAACCCCCCCCCCCCCCCCCCCCCCCACGTGTGCTGTCAGAGTTTCTCAGTCCAAAAACGAGTTGTTAACGAGTGCGTGCACGTGCTCACACAAGACTTCCTGCTCAGGAGAAAAGCAGACATAGATTCTGCAGCATTCTGGCGGATTTCTTGTTAACCAAGATCATTAGATGAAAAAGGGGGGAGGGCATTTTTTTTCAAGGAGGCGAGCGGCTCTGAGCGCCAACATGTCATATTGGCAGGTGAGTAGCTGAGCCAGGTGGAGGTGCAGCTGCCTTACCTGGAGACCAGTGCGGTGCAGCCACGTAGTAATTTGCTGACGTCACGTTTTTCAGCTTAGCCATCAGCCACAGCTGATTCTACATAAATGTGGAGCAGAGATTTTAACCTGAAGATGAAGATATAATTATGGTTTTGGGTTGAAATATTAAATTTAGAGTAAGTTGCACTAAACTGCCACACTAATGATTACACACGTGTACAGCACCATTAGACTCTCATCTATACAGGTTATCAGCAAAGAAAAGTTAATTTAGGCGTTACTTGCTCTTTAAAATTATGCTAACACAATTATATCACATATGGAAAATGAATTGTATGTTGTTTTTTGTAGTGTAATTTGGTTTCATTTTGTAGTGGTTTCACATTTCAGACTTAAGTTGTTTACTGTAATTTTTTTTTCTTTCTTTGGATATTACTTTCAAATAGTTGAAATAATATACCACACTTGAATAACACTGCATTTTAAAATGCAAATGATTTAGATAATTTCTGTTGGTTTGATACTGATGTAAGGTTAATAGCAATTATAAAAAAACAATTACGATGCAAGCTAATTAAAAAAGATGCTAATGATAGTTACACACATTGTCAAACCTAGGAATTATGAATCATCTGGTGTTGAGTAGCTGGTATAAGGTCCCCCAAAAAACCTGCTTTGGTCCCCACGAATGATTGGGCCGGCCCTGACGACAGTGCTACCAGCTGCACCACCATGCAGCCCACACTGGTTTAGTCAAGTATAACATTTTTTTGTTGTCCTAACTTGTTTATTAATTTTCAAATGATCCCAAAAGGCTTGGTCTAAAAATAATCAGATATCAGATCAAATGTGGACTTTAATTTCCTGCTGCTGTGGGTAATATAAGGGTACTGGGAGATTTTTAATCCATTTCCCAGCTCGTGCCACTGTGTGCTCAGAATCCTGACCTGTTTGGGGTTCTGCAGGACTTCCTGTGTGTTGGCTGTAGCCAGGATGGCCCTGTTGCTTCCTGGACTTAACTGCAGGCTCATGGAGAGGCCCGTCACCAACTGAACCCCCAGTTCTGTGATGGTCACTTTGTCGTCCAGCACTATGACAGTTTTCTCTGCCAGGATGGAGTCCGACAGCGGAGACAAAACCTGGGAGATGCAGCGTAACGACAGTTATTAAAAACAAGGTAATAATTCATGTTAATTAGCAGGAAAACAATATCAAACATCCCGGTTTTGACATTTTGATTAGAGTTCAAACCATGTTGGTCTGTTTTCTTAACTTTCTGATTTAAACACTTGAGTGGCTTTTCCGTAAGAAACCAGTTGGAAAATTAAATAAAAGAGAGAAAAAATGAGCAAATCGTTAAAAAAATTTAATCATCAGAAAATTGAAGCAGACATTATTCATCACTGGTCCAGTAGCTTGACTGACAAGTGATTTCAGGCAATACATTACATCAATGAGCCTTTTTTTAAATGAAGAAGCTTATTAGAACTCCCACATCTTTCATCCAGCATGAAAAGCACATAAATTACTGCAAAAACAAAATGAAAACCTCCCTTATCTCGTTTCTTAGTGCGGATAGATCAAACATTAAGTTAACTGGTCTCCAGTATGAGAGAATCCTGCCTGTTTTAGTGAAACTGGCAATCCACAAAAACATTCCCCCTGAAAATAGAAGCAGGAAGACTAACGATGTCTCTGATGAATGCGTCGAGAGCTGTGATTGTCTTTGTCTGCATGAATATGCGAATGAGTGTCTCCTCATGCATCAGCTGACGTGAGGCTTGGCACTGGTAATCACAGCTGTCAGACCTCCCAGTTCATCATGCTTTAGCGTTTGTGTTTGCTTTGTGAGAGTTTGTGGAGGTGAGCACACGTCTGGAGTCCTCTGTGGCAGAAAACAGAGCCCTTTGTGTAGAAGTCATTAGGAGGTTGATTTTCACCCAGTCAGTGAAGAGCCTGATAAACCTCAGGGCCGCAAGTCGAGGACCTCTCAGTGCTGTAAGCCTGACTCCCAGGCGGGACCCGTCTGCTTGGGACTAAACCAGGTTCTAGTCAGATATAGTAGCAGGACTGGCACCTGTTTTTGTTCCTTGGAGTAAGCAGATTGTTCATTTTTCTTCACCTCATCATTTAAACATTTTCATTTCTACTGAAGCTTTGGGGGGTGGATTAGCTGGATGACTGAGTGAATATTTAGAGCTATCAGGTGTTTCTGGATCCTTCACTGCTCACAAAACATGGACCGACAGGTAGGATAAGTGGCCCAGCTCACTTTAAACTGTGTTCATTCAAGTGCAGTGAAATCATGCACATGTGAACCACACAAAAACATGCACTGCAGATCAGAATCCCCAGGAGCTTCTGAGAGGACCACGCAGACCTGCCTTCACATGTTAAAAGTACCAAACGTTCTGATGCAAAAGTATTCTGACCTCTGGAAATAACTGGAGGCTTCAGCAAACCAGTCTAAAGGTGATAATGTGGACATGGCTGGTTTATGCAGATGTCAGCTGTCCAGACTTACAAAGATTTGCTTTCATTCACTGAATTTACTGTCAATTTTTAAAAAATCTGATGAAAAAGTGGGATTCTATAGAAAGTTTATGATCAGATAATATTCTTTCCAGAGGTGAGATAACAGCTGGTTAAATGACTTCCTCAGTGCAGAAGTTTGATAATCATCCATTTATTTGAACTAAGTGTGCTCGAACAAATGTAGGAAACACGACCTGAAGGGCTCTAACCGCCCACCTGTGAGCTCACCTGTTTTAGAATGGCCTCAGTTTCGAGACACAGATTAGTTCACATAGGACAGAAAAGCTAATAGCTACTGGAGCCAATGACAAAGTCACGTCCCATCATCTAATCTCACAAACGTTTAACCCTCCCACTGTCTTTATGTGTGACCCCGCGAGGAAAGTTGATCATTGAGCAGGATTGATGGTTTATCCCTTGAGGTCCACGTGGCAGGGGTGAGGTGGTGCTCACTCCTCACCCCTACCACATGGACCCAAGAGATAAACCATCAATCCTGCTCAATGGTCAACTTTCCTTGCGGGGTCACACCCATTAGGACAGTGGGAGGGTTAAACAATAAACCGCATAAAGATGCTTTTACACTTTTCTACACCTTGACTTTGCCTTCCAGTTCATGTTATACAAAGATTCTGGCAGAAATACCAAATTCTGAAATGAAAAAGAAACCCTTTACTAGTTTCTATGTAAATACCTTTAGGTTTCCATGTGAATAACTGTCTAATGCCATCGGCAGAGATTTAAAGACATCAATAATGTATTCATGAGCCGGCCTCCAACCTGAGTTCTCCACAACAGGTGAGATATTAACTGACAGGTAATATATATTTTTGTTAAGCAAAAAGAGGTCTGAGGCACTCAGGAGATCGAAAGATAAAAGCCTTTATTGATACATGTCTTAAATGGTTAAAAACTTTCTACCAATGCGTTTCAGCCCACAGGGCCTTCGCCAGGGCTCAAAATGTCTGTAGGTCCTCTCACTACCGTGTAAAGAAGGCCAATCAGTGACACCTGCTGAAGTTGGGCTGGTATATAGCATCATGATTGGATGACCAGTATTGCACAAAAAAACCCACTCTTTTACATTCTGAAAAATACAATTAGAAGGAGAAATACTCGCAAATGTTAAATTACCTCTGAGAATTGAGAAAAAGAAAAAAGTAAGTAAATACAAACTTAAAGACAAACGATACAAATATAGTAAGAAAACATAGAATTACAAAAGAGGAGCAAAACCCAATTCTCCATTAACACCTGGAAAATGTGTAGCTTTTAATGTATAAATCCAAAATGATTCTCTTTGCAAGAGTTTTTTAAGCCTATCACCTCAAAAACTCTTGCAAAGAGAATCATTTAGGTAGCATTTTGGGTAACGCTTCCTAATTAAATGTTTATTCAGCAAAGTTTGATGTCTTGTCTTTTCTGTTGTAATTCCTTGTGAAAAATCTGTGATACATAAAGACTTATATGTATTACTTTGTGTTCAAATTTTATCAAATTTACTGCAATAAATTGAAGTAAACCAAGAAATTTGCCATATCAATCAGTTATTCTTTAAAAGCCTTAACCACACCGTCCTTATGCAGTTCTCTTTACATTTATCTAATATTATACCTGAATAGTGGTCATTCCCATGTCCAGTCCAACCAAAATCCTCCTCTCCAGCAGCTTTGCGATCTGTGGATTCTCAACCTTCAAGAATTCCCAAACGAGCTCTGTGATGTCCACCTGCCAGTCAGTGCCCAGCAGGAAGGCGGGCTGTCCTCGTGGATCTGCTGACTCAGCAATGAAGTGGGTCAGGACTTTGATCATGGCATGCTGGTACTGCAGAGTACAGCTGCGCCCTCTCCTGTCTTCATCATCCTCATCTTCGCTGTTCCATGTAGACCTGGAAGGATAACAAAAAACACTGATGGGAAAGGTAGGAACACATGTATTCATGACAATGTTGGACAATCGACTACTTAAATCTAAACTAACATCTCAAAAACAACATTTTACCAGAGTTAGGCAGAATGTTTTACAGTCACAGCAAAGTGTCGCCTAGAAATCTGCAGGTCAGTCTAGCCACGCTCCATCATAGCCCCAGCAGATCTACCATTGGGTAGGCTAAGTTTAGTCTGAACCAATCACAGCAATCTATGTTTGTAGAGAGATGTTGAATGGGCTTAGCACCATTATGGCACAGTTTTTTCTTTATTTTTTATGATGACGGCAGAGCTGCAATGATGCGAAATGACAAATATGGAGTCTGCTCAGGATCAGCGCTCATTTGAAACGGCTTTGGCGTCAACTTTGGACATGTGCAGCTAGAGGTACGGTGTATGGTGGACTGCCTCGTTGGCTGATTTCCGTAGCGATGAATATGCCACATTCTTCATTGCTCTGATTGGTCCTAGCTCTGTCCAATAGCATGCGGAAACAGTTTGAAAGACAATCGTACATTTTGCCCCTACAACTGAGCTCTGTCTATGAGTCATGGCCAGACTACATATGTCTTTCCAGGCTAATTTGATCCAAATTAGTTTTTTGTTTGTTTCTGTCATGGTGGCAGTAACAATGTATTGTATTATGTTCTGAGGTGGTTCTCACTATAAAACAAGTGAGAGAACCACTTGTATAGAAATAACAAGCCCTACAACTTGACTATAGGGAGCCCAACCCTGGTTTCACACTGTAAGCATCAGCGGTGTGAAACGGCAGTGGACTGGTTTACTCGCGAACTTCAAAGTGGTCCTTTTCACACCGGGAGAGTCTTGGCAGTGGTACGGCGTCCTGGCTGTGCTCTTCGCTGGACTCGCGAGATCCCTTGAGACTTCACGTCACGGTTTGTTTATGCAATCCGTCATTAAATCAAAAAGAAGGAGATCACGTGGGATGTCATATATGATGCTGTTCTTCTCCACTTCCAGGATTAAAGCCATGAAAAACACACTGCTGCACTTCTGGAACAATGCTGTGAGTAAATAAGCCGTTGGGTCACACGTAAGCTTCATATTTATGAAATTGTATCGCTGCAGTACTTTTATTTAGAAAATTACCAGGGATTTTGCACTGAAACAGTGTGTGATTTCTTGTCTATCCCTATGCAAACTGCAGAAATCGACGTGTCCCGCGGCATGCCGCTTCTGGGACATGCCTGGAAATTTCCACGTCGCTGCTGGTTTGAAACAGTCCATAGACTATAAAGAATTATATTTGAAGCAGTGATGTTCCGCGCCGCTGATGCTTTCAGCATGAAACCGGGGTAAGTCTCGCCCATCTACTTCTAGACCACGGGTCCCTGGAAGAATGAAAAAACAAATGCAGGCCAATGGGGCTACGCTATTTTCTAATCCTGTTTGAGTTTATGTGCCATGGATTTCACACATGATGTCTGTGAATTTTTAAGACACATTCTGATGCCACTAACTTGCTTATTTTCAAACAGGGGTATAAGCTATTTTAGGTTTTGTGTGAAAATACATCCAGGACGACAAATGCACATCACCAAACTAACGTCATCGAACCAGACATGAAGACAAGCAGAGGAAAAACGGTCGTAAGTTCAGCAAACTTCAAATCCTTTCTTCAGGAGGAAAGAACCACCATAAATCCGACAAAGTGGTAAGTAGCAGCTACACTAGATGAAAGAAGATTCTGTGGTGATGCCATATATGCGACGCGTCAATGTCTGATTTATAATCATAGTAATTATGAGCTTTTACAAGCTGATAAATCCCAAAGTACGTGGCAGGCGTGGCTGAAACCCACACCATTACTTTTCATTTTAATTGAAGTACAACATATGTATGATTCAGGCAAAGCGGATTAGAAAATAGCTCTTTTAGCCCCGATGACTTGCATTAGTTTTTCTGTTCTTCCGGGGACACGTGAGCCAATCAGAAAGGGAGGAGATCTAGGCTCCCTGTCCTCAGTAGCACCAGTAACTATGAATGACACTTTGACTAAAATAATGTATGTCAGTTTAACTCAGTTAAATCATCTGATTCAGTCCCTCTGATGGTTATTGATGTTTTACAGCCTGAAACAGACACATCTAACATCGGACTGATGTGTGGTTTGTGTTCATTGTTTAACTGTGGAGCCCACCGACTTGCAACTCACTCAGGAATGTTTACCCAATGAAAATCCAGTTATGATGAAATGCTGTTGATCAGAGCGGTGAGAGACGCTCAATCCAGTCAATAGCCATCATTTTTCTTTCTCAGCACCTCTCCCTCACCGTCTTCAAGCACTTGCTCTGAATTGTAAATGTGCTTACACCTCCTTACTGCTTTTCTTAATAGCCTCCCTGATTGCTCCGTTGCTAGCAAATCTAATTTTATTACTTTGAGCAACAAATCAGCCAACAGAAGCACAAGTCTCTCTCAGCAGGAACATTGGCCCAGGTTTGACAAACTAGGTTTAAATGGTTACAATATAATTAGTTTTTGCCTATAACTGCTTTTCTATCTATTGCTTCAACAAACACCTCAATGAAAATAACAAATAAAGCACTCTGGGATGTTAAAAAAGCAACCATTAAATTCTTGAATAAATGCTGTTACAACTATTCACTTCTTCACCGATGCACAGCTGGGCTGCTTGCAAACAGGAAAGGGCTTTGTCAACACAGCTATTAATCATACATCTATACTTTGACTTACATCCACCTTTGTGTTTAATCATCATCATTTGTTCTTTTTCTGTGCTTCTTTCTCCTATACTCAACAGCAAAGGTTGTGAGTGTAATAAATGGAGAAGAAAAGAAATTAATCTCCTAAACAGTTTTTTCTTTCGATTATCTGCTCTGCTTGTCTCTTTCTGTCTGAATCCCTGAGGAAATCTGACTGACTGCTAAGCCGTGGGAATAAAGATGTTAGCGGCAAGCTCCAGAGAACAGCCAATAGTACAGAGAGATTTGAAGTTAAGAGCTTAAAAGCTTTGCTGGCAGGACAGATTTCACATGCATCTGAATGACAGCCATTAACCACAAATATATTCTGAAGAGGTAATGCGAACAGAAATATAAATCCAGGATTCATGGCATCATCACGAGTGACAGCATCCCCAATTCCAACGGTCGAGGTGTGTTTCACAGACACTCGTGATAAAAGCCATTGAGATTTTGACTGCACTGTTGGATTCAGAGCACAGCTTTCAAGGTGCTTCACCAAGATTGCATCATGGTTTCAGCTTTTGCTTTATTGTCAAGTGTTGTCCATTTAAAGCCACAGCAAATATTACAAGATTTCACTGACGACACGATCCAAACAACACACCAACTGCTGTCAGTTCTGGAGAGAAACTGTGCTAAAGCCTGAATAGAGTACAGAAGAATGATCCACAGAAGGTCCACATCAACCAGGAGAGCTGTGGATAGAGTAAACAAAGTCTGTGTGACCTTGCCTGACCTTTGACTGGTCACACTAGCCACAGCCAAACTATGAATGGCAGGAAGGTTTATAGGGATGTTAATGTGTCTGATGTGTGTCCAGGCTTTTTATAAATCATGAATAAAAACGGGGACAAGAGTTTTTGGGGGAATTTTTAAAGTCTTCTGCTTTTATCACTTTGCTTGCATAAATTGACATCTATTGAAGTCATGTGCTGTTTAATACTTTGAATAATTTAGCCATCTGGGACCCCTCTCTAAAGGATGGTCCTGTTGTACAGCCAAAGCCAGAACTGTGTCCACATTCTTGGCTTAACGTTGAGTTTATCTGCTGTACAGGTTGGGCTCCAACAGGGCTGGTTCTGGTCCTCGTCCTGATCTCAAAGCATAGTTATAGAGGAGGGTCTCTGGCTTGGAATCATCAGTCTCACCTCTGCATTATGCAGATGACATGGATCTATTAGCCTCTTAAAGCTTTTCCCAGTCTGAAACCATGGTTTTCCACTGTGAAAAAAGTGCAACTCCCACTCCAGTTTCTGCTTCAAGCAGAGGAGTTTAAGTGTGTTGGTGTCTTGTTTTCAAGTGATGGTAGGATGGAGCAAAGAACGTAAGGATTTGTCTTCAGATATCAGGTCAAAAAGCTCGTCAAAAAGATGAAACGATCTTGATTTAACCGACTTACTGGTTTGTCCACATCCCAGTCCTGCTGGATGCAAGTGGCTGAACTGTGTTTTAAAACGTGATGAGGAGTACCATGTCATGTTGTGGAGTGGATGAAGGCAGATCATGTGTGGTGGAGCAGATCAGGAGGCAGGAATGCAGGCACAGATAAAATAAAAGTAGATTTAATGGCAGGATACGGCAGGGAACAAGAACAACACGACAAGTAACAACAATGATCCGACAAAGACTCAAACAAGACGGGAGGTATAAATGCTCAAGGAAACAATCAGGAACACATGGGCAGGTAAACAAGGGGCAGGTGAAACCAATAGGGACTAATCAAGGGCAGGGGAGAGACACAGTCAGGCCCTGTCCACACGTAGCCGGGGATCTGCCAAAATGTAGATATTTTTCTACGTTTTGGCCTGTCATCCACACGAAAACGGAGTTTTTTCACACGAAAACGGATCTTTTTAAAAACTCCGGCCAAAGTGAAGATCTGCGTTTTCTCCGTTTTGGGTGTCTGCATGTGGACGGACAAAACCGGAGTTTTAAGGTCCGCAACGTCACTTTCCGCGACAAAAAATGCTGACATCACGTGTGCGACCTGTGTCTACACTAGCCGGCATCATGGAAACCTTCAGAGCTGCGCTCTGTCACTACCCGATCCATCAACTGTCCAAGCGCTTGTTGCTTGTTTGTTTTTGCAAGCGGAATTACTGCTCCTTGCGGAAGACCACAGACGAAGGACAAGGTTACGAACGGGGGAAGTACTGCCGCCTACAGGTCTGGCATGTCCTTAACAACGTATTTATCCGGGTACGTGTGGACAGAGTTTTGTTTTAAAACGCGGTGGTGTGGATGCAAGTTTTTGGAGGGGCGGATATTCGTTTTCAAAAACCCCGGCTACGTGTGGACTAGGCCTCAGGGAGGAAGGAGCAGATTGTGACAGGATCTGCGGCTTCCATGGGAGAACAGGACGGGGCGAAAACAGCAGGAGAGGAGAATGATCTTGACCACCCCGAGAACATGTAGGATGCGCCGAAAAAACCCCTCAGGTCAAAATCTCCCTCCTCTGAAAAGGAGATAAAGCAAAAAAAATCCTCCAGGCAGATGACTAGAGCTCACCACAGGTCCAGGTTGGTCAGATCATTCTGTCATGTTGTGGAGTGGATGAAGGCAGATCATGTGTGGTGGGGCAGATCAGGAGGCAGGAATGCAGGCACGGATAAAATAAAAGTAGATTTAATGGCAGGACACGGCAGGGAACAAGAACAACACGACAAGTAACAACAATGATCCGACAAAGACTCAAACAAGATGGGAGGTATAAGTGCTCAAGGAAACAATCAGGAATACATGGGCAGGTAAACAAGGGGCAGGTGAAACCAATAGGGACTAATCAAGGGCAGGGGAGAGACACAGTCAGGGAGGCAGGAGCAGATTGTGACACACCATCACTTCTGAGAAGTTCAGAGTGGAGCTCCTGCAGCTCTGCACTAAAACAGGATGCTTCCTGGTGGTCTTCCTCTGGAGGTTTCCTAAGCATGTCTCAATGGGAGAAGACCTTAGATGGAAAAGGATACTGTGATCTGTTTTATGTGCATTCCCTTCTGGATGATTGTGAATGCAGCTACTATGAATAAAACACGTGTGGTGAAGGTTAGTAAATGGATCCTGATTGAATATTTTCCTTCAGGTATTGATTTATTTTTTTGACATAAAATTATGTCTAGTGAAGTTACTTTATATTTTTAATACTTTATGCTGGTTGAACTTTTATTTCAGAAATACACAGAGCCTAACTTCAAGGATTTGGAGTTTTATTCTTTTTATTAACACATGAAATGTATTTTCTTGATAACTTTGATCCAGAATAACTAACAAAACAACAAAACAGCAGACACATTATTCATATGATCACAAAAGCCTCATTTGCTGCAAAACCATGAATTTTTCTTGAATTTGTGATTAAATATTAGGTGTTCTTCCACATTCCTGTTCCTTTGTAAATTCCTGATTAACTGACTCTCCACGGACCTTTCACGTTTACACAGGAAAAGAAACCACCTGCCAATCTTTCTACATTGTTATTCCAGGTATGGTGCCGAGCATCTCATTTAGAATGATTTTGTGAGTCTTTTTGAGTCTGACCAGAAGTTAGTAATGTAACTTTTAAATGTAGAAGAAGAAGAAGAACAGGAAACAATCTTTTCTATAGCGTCTCTCAAGATAAAAAATCACGAGGCACTTCGCAAAAACCAAAAAATTTAAATATAAAAACTAATTTAGAAAATGATTAAAAATATATTTAAAATGAGCAAAAATAGACAATTGTGATTCAAAAATGTCAAGAAAGAGAGAGTGAATAGGAAAGAGGGAAATCAGTGGATTCGGAGGAAGGTGGAATAGGTGGGGAGAGCAGAATAAAGAGAGAGTGTTGAAGAAGGTCATACAAAAGCCAGCTTGAACAAGTGAGTCTTCAGCTGCTTTTTGAAGGAGACCACTGAGTCCACTGATCTCAGGCTCAGGGGAGAGAGTTCCAGAGTCTGGGGGCCACAGCAGCAAATGATCTGTCACCTTTGGTCTTTAGCCTGGTGCGCTGCACAACCAGTAGGCTTTGATCACTGGACCTCAGGGACCTGCTGGGGGTGTAGGGACTAAGAAGATCACCAATGTAAGATGGTGCTTGTCCATGTAAGGCCCTATAGACCAGAACCAGGATCTTGAAATGAACCCTGAAGTTCACTGGCAGCCAATGAAGCTGGAGGAGATGCGGGGTGATGTGGGTGTATTTGGAGGACTTGGTCAGAAGCCGAGCACAGACATTCTGAACCACCTGTAGACGGTTCAGGGAGGTTCTGCTCAGACACGTGAAAAGAGAGTTACAGTAGTCTAAGCGTGAGGAGATGAAGGTGTGGAGAACTGTCTCAAGTTCAGACCGAGACAGAATGGGACTCAGCTTAGCAATGTTCCTGAGATGGAAGAATGAAGAGCGAACAAGAGGACTGACATGAGAATCCAGGGTGAGAGCTGGGTCAAAGGTCACGCCAAGATTCCTGACAGAAGGTTTGGTGTGAGTAGCAAGCTGACCAAGAGAGTCTCTGACTTTGGGAACCAGCTTGTCTGGGGCACAGATGAGGATCTCAGTCTTATCTTCATTCAGCTGAAGAAAGCTCCCAGCCATCCAGGTTTTGATAGAGTCTACGCAGGAGTGGAGAGTGGACATGTGTGGACATAGAGTATAAATATTTTATAATTCAGTAAATGTAAAGTGACAGTGAATGTATAAAAGTAAATCTGAGTTATGATGGGTGTGAGGGTAAATAAACCAACAACTGTTTTAGAATCTGAGCCAACGCTTCTGCAGTCATCTAAAAATCTAATCTGAGGTTAATCTAATAAACAAATCACACACTATGACGAGGACATCCTGCTTCACACAGCAATATTTTTTCCACTTCATTCCCTTTCGAGTCCACTTCTGACTTCAGAGGAGATGCTGCATATGTATGTGTCTTTCTTGTTTTTGTTGTTTTCCTCTGAAGTCTGACTTGCATTTCTTTTTTACATTGTTTTTCAGTTTGTGTTGCACTGACAGGTCATCTGGACAGAAATGGGTAGTGTTGATTCTATATATACAGATGCAGCTCTGTCTGACAGCAAGGCTAATTGTGTCATTATTCTTGAATCATGTGAATCTTTTAGTACAAATGTTTGTTTTTCAGCAGAAATAGAGAAAAAAATGACCAAATATAAAGTTTTCAAAGACCAAACAAGAGTGAAATTCTTCATGGAGACGTCTGTAAAGGTGTTTAAGAAGTTGTGCATGCTGAGTGTTACGCCCACGCTTAGGTTTCTGTCTGAAGGCTTATCTTGTCCTTGTTTTGACAGGACTTAAGGAAGGAATAGGTGAGCCATATGGGTAGTGTCAGTCAAAAACTGGAGTGAGGATATCCCACTAACAGGCCTGATGTCTCTTTATTTTCCATTTCTCTTCCTGCATGGCCACAACTTCCCAGCCTGAGTGATAGCGGAAGGCTACGCCACTTGTTATTGTCCCTCATTGATTGAGTTCCTCATGGGGCTGGTGGACAGTGGACCAATGCTCATCCTCCCAAGCAGGCGCAGCGTTACGATGCAAGGTCACACCTGTTATCCCCTGATAAACAAAGCCGGCTGGAAACCAGAGAAACAACGCCCTCTGAAGCCAAGAGCACTGGTGCAGACAAAAAAACAACCCCAACCATAAACCATAACAATGACAACCGAGCTGGACTGTCCTCACTGATAAAGGCGCGCATACCACCAGCTGGAGAAGCAACACACTCGACAAGCCTTGACATTAGTTGAATGCTGTACCTCTGTCACTCACAGTAAGAGGGTAGCATGGATAATTAGAAGAGACACACTGGTGCGTGGGACGACTCTACATCCAACTTCAACGCTTTCCAGATGTAATTACTGCAGGTAGACTGGTGGCTGCTCCGTCAGCTGATGGATTTGTGCAGTTACAGAGCAGCACAGCGATAGCAGTGTTGGCAGAGGTGCTTCTGGTGATGAGGTCTCAGGAGAGAGGGCTGACCTCCAGACAGCTCTAATAATGCGCTGTCCCACTGACAACTAAGAGGTGCAATGGCAACCCACCTTGAGCCAGTGATAATGACAAGCTGTATAGCACAGGTCAGCCATTTTGTCATCATCCGGGAACTGTCAGAGGGACTGAAGACAGGGGGAGACAAGTGGAGAGGTGTTCGTTCACACAGGCGTGATGATCTTATTTTTCCCATGACTGGAATCAGATACATCACCTATAATACTGACTATTCCACCCCTCAGGTAAGCTGAGCCACAGCTGAAAGGATCATAATAAACTGTTACAGGATAAAAATTGTGTCTCTTATATCACCTCTAAAGATTTATGACCTTGTGACAGGATTATTGTGTACCTGAATAATACAAATTAGGATTTAATAATTAACAAGAGAATAAATCCAGTTAAATGTTGCGTGAGCTGTAGGCTCTAATCACAGATGGGTCTTTTAGGAGGGCAGTGTGAGTTTACCTCTGACCCGAAGCAGCGATGGGAACTCTCCACCCCCGGATTTGGCTCAGCTCCGTGTCCGACACCTCGATCTGGAGCGGAAGGCGAGGAATCCAAACGCTGAGCTCCAGCTGAGCGTCCAGGTATTCATAAGTGAAATTCACCATCATCTTCACCTTGCCCTTCATCTCCTTGCCATTCACAAAAACATAGTCGCACCTGTCGGACACCTGCGCAGGACGAGAGGGGAGGATTAGATAGATAACTACACAGTGAGTATCACACACAAATATACCATGTGCTGCACACAAGCTGTGCTCTGTGAGCTGATTCTCAGGCTTTACTCTTCTGAGCTCTGCACTCGTATACGGCAGGATTCCTCTAACAACTCTGAACAAGATGAAAAGGTCCTCGGTATGAGTCTGACTCTCAGGAGAGGAGGGAGAAGGGCAGCGAGGACTTCTATCAACCTGAGGGGAAACAGGTCACAGCTTGTTGGTTTATTACTGTTCAGAAGCAACAAAAAAAAAAAGAAAACCCAAAACAGACGGAAACTAGAAAGAAGGGAGCAGTTGCATCAGGATAAAATGGCCAAACTCAAAGCCATCTGTTTTGTAAATGACTTTAAGGAATGAGCGGGCCTGTGTTGTGCTACAGAGAAACATAACTCCTTGTTGTTTTGACTCTTTAAAGTTCCCATGTGCTCCTTTACTCACGCTGGCTTTTAATCATTTCCTGGAATCCTCCTCCTCTGCCTCCTAAAACCTCGGCACAACATCGGTAGCAATAAAAAAAAAGGCTGTCCTGGGGGAAACTCGGAGAACACACACACTCACACAGATAGAGGTAATTAATCAGTAGATAAATTGAGACACTGATTTTTTTGCTTTTTTGGGGGGGTCGGGGGTATTCGTCTGTCTTATTGATCCTATCACATAGCAGAATCTGATGCTGGGAACTGCATTGGAATTAGATGGTCCGGGGAAATATCGTTTCTCTCTACTTCCAACTTATTTCTCCACAGCCAGATAAAGCTGGAGGCAGCCATTCATCATGGAGCCATAGCAGGATATCCTCCGTGACTGGGAGGACAACTCGGAGTGTGACAGATTCTGGACTCCTGCATTCATCTCGGCTTAAAGTCAACAGCTGAGCTTCCGCTCCGCTGTGGGAACTAGCCCCCCACCCCCCATTAGATCAGGATAAATAACACATTTGGGTGGGAACAATTGGCTCCTTTTTAATTATTTATTTAAATTATTTTTTAATTCACACCTGGACGTGTGCGTCATTCCGTCAGCTATCATTCCAACATCATTTGGTTCCTTTCTTTAACTCACTTCCCTGCAGAGAGTGTAAACAAACTGATGCAAACTGGAGCAACAAACAAAATGATGCAACTGGAACTTACAACGTACTGTACATCAAATAAAATACTCTGTCTGATCTGAATAATTTTTCTTTCAAGTCGACCAGATGCTGAGTAACACTTCTCACAATTTTCCGACTTTTCAAAGTCACTGCAGATGTTCAACACATCTGTGAACTACTCGTAGAAACTTTGCTCTTTTCCAAGGACGTATCGGATGATTGAGGACTATGCTGATGGATGCACAATAATAATAATAATAATAATAATAATAATAATAATAATAATAAACATGGTCAGGAGACATCTGGTAATCTTAATATTATTATTTGTTGTTATGAAAGGTGATCCAATTAAAAAAATCCCTACTTGACCTTTGACCTGGAGGGCTCAGCTGGGGGGGGGGGGGGGGGGACAGCACAGTGCTACAGCTTTTCCTGTCAGTGCAAGGTCACACTTCTGCAGGTCATTTCAGCCATAAACAGCTCTGTCACTGAGAGATCAGTGTGTGTCAGAAGACATTGATCAGCCAGCTCTCCTCTTTCTTCAGATTAATTGTTTCAGTGCCAGATTTGTTGGATTTACAACAGGAAGTCTTCTGCATCCCATAACAGATTTATCAGGACTCTAAGGGTCTATTATCCAGTCTGACGCCATGTTTCGATTGTAAGGGTTTTGAACCTTAGTTTGCTTGTTTTTTTAAGACAAGACTCCTGGATTGTGCAGACGTTGTCATGCACAGCTGCAGGCAAACAAAGCAGTGGGTTTAATGTTCAAACAAAGGAGCTGTGGATCCTGCTGTAGGGCTTTTACAGTCAACCACCTCTGCTAACAGTGACACACGTGCTGCTAATAGGACTGGACACACACAAGCTTAGTGGCTGCAACCTTTCTGCAGTGAATAAACAGCACAGAGCTGCTTTTGCTGCTGTGCTGCACAACGCTGCTCTATAACAGAGACTGATGCTGTTGCCTAATGAGGCATTGGAGCATTCCCACAAGCGTGGCGTCCCTCCCCCCGGCTACAGCCTGTCATGGAGCAGATTGGACTCTGTCAGGGCTGACAGTGTGAAAAAGTCTGAACTAATAGAGATATCAGAGGACTCCGTGCTAGTTATCAGCCCTCATTGTAAAGCTCTGCTCCTCTCGCGGCTCTCTGCTGGGACAGTGCAGTGAGAACCTTGAGTGCCTTTGACAGACCCTTGTTGCTCCCGACTCTGGTGGAGGCCCTACAGCTGTCACTGTGTGACATGCTCACTGACCACAAGCAGCACCAACATAAAGTATCAGTGAGGCAGGTGCTGCTATCCTAAAACTTATATGAAGTTTTTTCTCATCGCTGTGATTAACAGGTTTGTTAATGACTAACAGATCTATGTCAGCATCTATTTGGGAGGGATAGGGATGTCAGTATAATACTTTCTGGATAATTAATTTTTAGTACACTTCTCATAGGAAATTTATTTTCTGTTTCCTTCAATCAGCATGACGCCCTTACTAAAATGTAAAGTATCCAGAATGTGGATGGGGCTTTGAGGGTCATGACAAGATCTTCAGGTGTGTAAGAAAGAGACAGAAAGAGAAGGTTTCTGTTGCAAACTCGGTATTCTTCTCACCAGAACATCTCATTCTACAAATCTACAACATCTTTAGAAGCAACGGTTGCTCAGAGGGTTAGGACTTCACCCTGGGCTGTCAGTTTGAACCCAGGCTCTGTCAGTTATGTCAGTCCTTGGGCAAAAGACTTTACCCTCCTTGCTGCATATTAAACATATGAAAATGTTGCAAACTGTGGCTTTAATGGGACACTTTTATTGTTGGTTTTCAAAAACTGTTCCACTAGCACCTGTCAAAAATGCTTGGACTAATTGTACTTAAAGAACAAGTCACCCCCAAATCCATTTTTTGTTCTTTTCTTACATGATTTTAGTAAAAAAAAAATCGTTTTTTACCTGACATGCTTCAGCTAATAGCTCTAGCCATCATCAGAGATTACCAGTGTTTGTGGCGTCGCTTACTTTTATCCCAACGATGTCGCCCTCTACTGCCCACATCCTCCTTTCTGATGACATTGTCCCATGCATGATCCAGTGTGAATACTCCATCGTCTCTGTTCATGGTTTTGCGCCCACATCCCCTTATTTATTTCGCTTACTTAATCCATCTTTTGCATTTTTGTTGTTCTCTGTTCATGATCCTTGTTTAGTCCCAGCCCTTTATATGGTTTCCCTTGTGCAGTGGCATGTTACAGCTGATTTCTTTATTGTGCGTTTGCTTCTTGTTTTGCTGCTCTTGTGTGTCTTTGACTTGTTTCCCTCTCACACTCCTTTTGATGTTTTATTTTTTATGTGTTGAGTTGGCCTCCAGTTTCCCCTATGTATGTTTTATTGCAGAGCTTGCATGGTATTTTGTATATGACTCCACATTTTTTATCTGTTGATATCTTGTCCTTTGGGTGCACTAGTCTTTTTCTGACTGTCATGTACGGATTTGTTGGTGTGTTGATATGATGTTTTTTCATCGTTGTAATTTTTAATTCTGTTATGCTTTTGATATATGGGAGGGTTATTACTGGTTTTGGTTCTGGTCTATGTTTCTGGTTCTTTTAGTTTTTTTTCTTTTCTATTATTTGTAGATTTTCTTTTCTTATTGCCCATGTTGAGTATCTGCAGGTTTTTAATGCATTTTGCATGTGTTGGTCCTCCACAACCTCCAAAACCACGAACAGAGATGATGAAGTATACACATTGGATCATGCACGGGACAGTGTCATCAGCAAGGAGGATGCGGGCAGTAGAGGGCGACATCGTCCTCTGCTTCCTGTGGATAAAAGGAAGTGGCGCCACCAAGATTGGCGATGTCTGATGACAGCTAGAGATATTAGCTGAAACATTCCAGATAAAAACTATGTTTTACTAAAACTATGTATGAAAAGAACAAAAAGTGGATAACAAAGCTAACATGTGCATAATCACGCAGATAAAGAGAAGTTGTTGTTTTGTCTCTCATTCCTGTTTGTTTTATGATTTTATTGATTGCATTGTTTAGTTTTTGCTAATGCCACTGATAGTTTTACTAGCATTCATCATTTAAAGGAGGACCCCCTTGAAAACGAGAAGATGCATCTCAAGGGGTTTAATCCTCTGGAAATATAAGTAAATAAATAAACAGAATTAACGTACAAAAGAGAAGTCACCCCCAAATCCACTTTTTTTTCATGACTATACACATGACTATTTATTACTATATAAATGAGTATTTCATCATACTGTAGACAAGTGTAGTCAAAAATTTGGCACTTCAGTGCATCTTAGTTTAAATTTTAATATTCTGCCCAAAACTGTCAGTGTTGCATCGTGCTTTAGGTAAAAACTCTGCACCAGATTTCAATCTAAATCTGTCATCACTATTGGCTAAAAGGTCCTCTATCACATTAGCTTGTACCATATGATGTTGCAATGCCACTGTAAGCCTGTGCATGTATTTGTTAGTGGCTACGCCCTCTCAGTCTGCCAGGCAACGTCTCCTTGTAGCCCATTTTTCAAACAAGAAATGGGAGTGAGTTAGACTTTGGTAGGGGGTGATTTGTTCTTTAAAACTTTAACCCAATCTCATAGGTCCTTGAGGACAGTGTTCTCCTTTAAACGTTGTGCCTACAGAGGTAAAAGGTCTGCAGCTCCTTGCCTCAGCTCACAATGGTGTCTCCTTCCTGCCTGTCCTCACAGACAGCAGGCGCTGCATGGCATTTGCTGTGAAAACCAGTCAATTGTGGAAAACTGTTAGTAATTGGTTCATTCACATCCACATATTAACAAATTATGACACTTTCCGTGTTTTACAGTTTATTCCATTTTTAATTAATGTCCCTATTAAAAGCCCTTTAGGGACTGAAGGATAATTAGAATAAATAAACATGACAAATGTCGCTGTTGACATTTAGGATGTCCCTTTGACTCACACAGACCAACCTGCTGTTTTGCCTTATCAACAAAAGTTTAACCTCAGATCAATATTCAAACATTAAAGCAGATTTCCACCCAGTGAGCTCACCCGCTGGACCCACTGGATGAATATCATCCCAACCACAATCAGACTGAGGGTGGGGATGCCTCCATGAATTACACACTCTCCACCATTCTGCTTCACAAAGCATCATAAACGTCCAGGAGGATCCACTGCCACATTAATCAAACCCATTAGGCGGCTAACGGGAGAATACTTACAGAGAACATTAGCGCTGTTGCTGGATCTAGCCCAGGAAATTAACAACTCGCCAGACAGATACAATCCACTGCAGATATGAGCGATGGGAAAGGAGAGTGTGAAGTTGGGGAGAGTCCATCTTTGGCCTGTACACACAGTTGGCCTGACAGAAGCAATTAAGCTGCTCAGACTATTCTGCATACTGTACACTATCATTAACTTGTGTGCAAATAGAAAGGTCTGCATTTATACTATTCTAGTAGCTCTCTTTCTTGGTCATTGTTAAAGCCCACTCATAACCCAACCTTTAATTTATAGCTAACATGAGAGCAAATGACTTTCCAGGAAAACTTGTGAACAACTTTATTTTTGTGGGGGAAACTAAAACCAATCCTCACAGACAGAGGCCAGTTCTAAAATACCATCTGCTTAATTCCAGAAATTAAACTTCCCAGAATCTTGATGGTGAATAAAAACACTCAATCAGCAAGCCAGAGAACCAAAATCATAATCTCGCAAAGCAAAAATGCGAAGATAACATATGTTATGATTGTGAAGTAAGCCACAGGGCTTTCTCCTTTCCTCATAGTTGTGGTATGTGGCCTGATAAGCATGGGGGTTGGAAATGCTCTGCTTGGCAACAGGGAAGGAAAACCCCTGTAACTTGAGACTTCCTTTTTAGAAGGTCCCGCCTTAGATAGAAGCAACAGTGTTATTGGTGAAGTGTGGACAGTGATGGATTGTCATTTGTCTCTGTCTGCCTGTGTTTCAATAAAACCAGCTGAAAAGAGAGAACACGCCAGAGTTAATTGGACATGGGCCTTTGCAGGCTTTTGGCTGTTTGCTCTCCGCTACCTCTTCACAGCATAAAAAAACCTATTGACTTCTCTCCTGTGTGTCTCATTCCAAGATATAAAAATACCCAACATGAGGACACGCACATCAGCATCAGTGAGAGAGAACAGGGAGCAAATTATGAAAATTATGTGGTTCGAAGTCTTCAAAAGCAACACGGCTCATCCCTGCCTTTGCTTTTCTTATTAAGGAGGACACCAAAGACTTTTCCGCATTTTTAATACTTGGGGATTTCCGCATTGCTGAGAAGTCTTTGGGAACCATATGTGAACAAAACCTGCCCGTACAATCCTGAACCAACACAACACCCCCTGTTTATACTGAGCCAGGATCCTCTGGAGGTTTCTTCCTGTTAAAAGGGAGTTTTCCTCTCCACTGTCGCTAAATGCTTACTTAGTATGAGGATTGCTGTAAAGTCACTGACAGCAGTCAGTGACTTGATGCAATTAGCTGGGTTCCTTATATAGGAAGCATTTTACAGATTGGCTTAATGAACTGATCTACATTGGAATGTTTACTGTGTGAAGTGCCTTGAGACGACTCTTGTTTTGATTTGGCGCTATATAAATAAACTGAATTGAATCGATCTACATTACTACACTCCTCTATGGTCACAAGTTTTGGGTAGTGACAGAAAGAATGACACTGCGGATACAAACAGCTTTAATTAATTTTCTCTGCAGGCTGGGTTCTCCCTTAGAGTTAGGGTGAGAAGCTCAGTCATCCAGGAGGGGCTCCGAGTGGACCCGCTGCTCCTCCACATTGAGAGGGGGAAGTTGATGTGGCCTGGGCATCTAGTTAGGATGCCTCCTGGATGCCTCTCTGGTGAGGTGTTCTAGGCATGTTAAACTGAGAGAAGACCTGGCGGGGGAGGAGAAAGACCGGGCTTCTCTGCTTAGGCTAATGCTCCTGTGATTTGACTCCGGTTAAGTGGGGAAAATGGATGGATGGAAGGACTTTAATGCAAGCTGACGTTATATTACTGAAAATTCAGTATAACCCAGGATGTTTGGCCCTGAACTTATGTCAACATGTAAATGGAAAGAGGCAACAAGTGTAGAAAGAGACGACCTGATGTCCACTGGCACGTGCCAGCCAAAGTCAGTCTAAACAAATCACGTAGGTGTGCGTGACATGAGCAGTTTCTTCCTTGTTTTCAGTGCTATAAACACAGTGATTGAATCATTTATTGCTCACCAGTGACTCGTTGTTCAGATTTAATGTCAGAGTGTTTATTGATTGCTTATGCTGCAAGTAAACACAGGAGATGTTAGTCATGTTTGCATGACTGCAGAGTATCAGTCGGAAGGACCCGTCCTGAATGAGTAATATTCTGCCCCAAAGATCTCAGCAGTGGATTTTTATCAGCTTATTTTCACTCCAAAACACCTATCAGACACGATGCAGGCAGAAAACTTCACATGGCTTTGAGCTTTGTTTTTTTTTTTTTTTTTTTAGTTCCTGGCATCAGATCTATTTGCTTTCTACTGTTTTTATGCATTACAACAGAAAACAGCAGGCATGAAGCCTGTGGTGCAGCACTGCAATTCTGTGTTTTAACCTAAAGCAACATCTCAGTGTTTGAAAATCTAAAACTGACAGATAAAAAGATGTATTTCTTTGCTTTTTAATTGATTTGTTAGAATTTTGCAAGAGTGTTTTCTTTGGTTGCCAAGCAGGGCTGCTGACAACGGAGCTCAACTTTCTAAAGCTGTGACTAACTTTTTTCCTCCTCTCTTGTGCTTTGTGTTGCAGATTAACAAGAGCAACAAAAACAAAGACAAACTTGACTGAAGAACCTACACAAAAACAGTCTTTCATGTTGGCTGGTAGCTTGTTTCTCATTTCAAATTAAATAAATGTGCTAATAATAGAATATTCTCACATCTAGTGTAGATTTATACAAAGATTAAAAATGCTGCCTTAAACATGATTTCCTGTATTAATTATTACGGAGCCCGTCTGGTGACATTGAGGGAAAAAAATGTGCTCCTGACTAAAAACACGACATCCTTAATGTGTGGGAACGAGTTATTAACTCATGGCTGTGTTTTATTTTTTTAATCAAATCATCCAGCAACGCAGGTGATGCGTCTTTTTCTTTCAGCACCGTAGAGAGACGGCGACTGTTAATAAAGTGTATGTCCTCCTCTCTTTTGTTGTTTGTAGTGACTCGTGGCTACGAGCTAATAACTCGTTCCCTCGCATTAAGGATCTCGTGTTAATAGTCACGAGTTAATTTTTTTCCTCAATGTCACCAGATGGGCACCATGCAATATGGAATTTAATAAAAGTTGTGTATCGGGTTTAAATTGATACCTTTTAGACTCATCTTCATTTAAGATCGCTACAACAGCTAGTCAACATTATTGAAGATAAAACTTTATTTAGTTAGTTGGTAATTTGCATTCCATCAAGGTTGTTTTTAATACTAACAAATTGGAAGTTTCACTAAAAGAGGACATCATTTTAACACGTTTAAAGATCAACTTCACTGAAAAAAACATTTTTCCATGCTTATTTCTGATTATGATTGGCCACTGAGATTTTCATGCAGGTTGAATATAAAAACAGTTTCCTACACCTATCTCCTGCATTAACATCTGACAGAAAATAGACTGAAAAATGCTTGGTTCATAAAAGCCTGACAGATCTACTGTACATCACACTCTCACTTAACAGTCATGGACTCATCAATCTTGGCTTGTGACAGGGAAGGCTGTTGTTGGTTTAGCGTTCAGGAAACGCCTCGACAAGTATAAGGTAACTCATTCAGGTTTGTTATTTGTGGAGATAAAGCATCAATTTTGCACAACAAACTGAGTCAGTGGTAGAGTCGCATTGCTGTTATCCAATCAGAGGTCCAAATGTCAGGAAATAAGACTCTAAATTCTGATGTCAGCATTCATTCCTACTGTAGACCACTGCAAATGTAATAAAAGTATGAGTAATGTTGACCTTTAAAGACTTTTAACATTCAAGATCCCAGAATATTTTATTTGACGAAAGAGTGATCTGTTTAAAATATCCTGAAGGTAATGTGGAGCAAATTAGTTAATCAAAACTACTTACACAATAAACCACAAGATCTAAGCAGAAATTCTCCCTATTCATACATAATGAACCAGGTGATGGCAAAGTTATTTTACTTTGCTGTATTTTCATCCTCACTGACCTTTACCACATCCTCATCCGTCGTGCGGCACGTCACCGCTTCAGAGACATCCGTTACCGAGGCGTCTGTTCCGATGGTCACCACCTTGACTGGAACGGCTACTGTCTTTCCAGTCAGGACAGCCGTGTTGAGAATCTCACTGTCCTAGAGATAGAAACAGAGACACAGCTCAAAAATGTGCTTCATGAACACCGTTTGGGTTCCTGATTCACATCAGAACAGAATAAATGAGTTATCAAGGAACACTGAAAACAGTGAAACCTACTAGTGCTGTTGAAAGGTACGTAGAGGGCACTTTGTGCAGTCGTGGCTCAATTAGAGACCATTCGGTGGAAGCTGTGAAGGTTTTCAAAAGTATTTCTGGGTGGACAGCTAATAACTGAGCTCATTATGCGGGGTGTCATTAAACCCATAAAAAGGCATGCGGTTCCATCACAATGGGATCATGCAAGGTCCACTCTGCAGCCGAGACTTAGCTTGAACTTTTCAGCATTTTGTTCTCATCGGAAGATTAATTGTTTGGGCGTTATCGGTGTGACTGTATTTATTAGAGAGAAAACATTCACCCAGCTCCCACGCTGCTCTGGAAGCAGCGCTCTGACTGGCTAGTCATGGCGGCAGATCAGCAATTAAGATGAAGTTGAAAAATAAAGATATGAAGCAATTGTTCATGGAGTTTTATGTGAGAAAGGAGATCTTTTCAGTCACAGTGTGAAGACACAGACTGTTCCTTTATTCTGAGTTTTCATCTGTTTAGATGTGCTGCAAATTTGGAGTTCCTTCTGTAGTCAAATGTGACAATGAATGCCTTTTTTTGTGCCAGCATAACTGCTTAGACAGAGTACAAATATACTAACTGGATCCACTGTCTCAGACACCAAAGAGCAACTGTGCAGCAAGAAAATATGAAAAATGTCACTTAGATTTGCACTGAACTGATGTTTGCGACACTTTTGTGAAAAGTTTTGTTTCTGGCCGGGTTGCAAGGGTCATGTGAAGTCATTAGAAACAAACTACAACAGTTGCTTTTATTTCTGGTCCATATTTTGGAAAAAAGTGTCAATCAAGCAGATTTTTATTTGCAGTTTGATTTCCCAAATGCATCCATGCAACTTTAGAGCACATTTGTAAAAACGAAATTAAAATATAGGATTTCTGTGGACATGGACAGCACTGTTTTGGCGACTAAAAAAATAGCTCAGTGGTGTAGTGGTATGAGTGTCTTCTCCGAGACTGGGAGATTGTGGGTCCAAATCCACGGTTGGGTCACACCCAATGCCTCCCCACTTGGCACTCATCATTAAAGGAGAGGTTCATTTGTTTAATTAATACATTTGCAGTGGTCTCTAATAGGAATGAATGACTTGTAAGTTATTCTCAGCGGTAAAAATATACCAGTGCACCATTTCTTGGACCTAAAAGTTACCCACATCACTCATCTTATTTCCTGCCATTTGGACATCTTGCCCCATACTGGATAACAGCAACGCAACTCTACCAATTAGTTTTATCTCTGCAAATAACATAAGCCTGGAGGAGTTCTGCTGTGTGGTGATGTTGCTAATGCCGACGGTTAGCTTAAAGTATCCCAGACATCCGCTGCTGATTCTCGAACGTTAACACAACAGTCTTCCCCGTCGTGAGCCAAGATGAGTGAGTCCATGAATGTTAAGTGACAGTGTGACATAGATCTGTCAGGCTTTTCTAATCCTAGAGTTTCATCGTCTATTTTCTATCAGAAGCTATTGCATGAGATAGGTGTAGGAGACTATTTTCATGTTCAGCTTGCATGAAAAACTGTGACCAATTACAATCAGAAACTATAATAAAAAATGTTTTTTTAGTCAACCACACCTTTAAGGGGTTTGATTGGGGGGTTAAACCATCAAATGGCTCCCGAGCATGGCCCTGTCTGCAGCTCACCGCTCCCCATGGGGATGGGTCAAAGGCAAAGAAATAAGTTTACTTTAACTTTATGCTGGCAGAGTAATTCCTATAGATATCAGTGATGATGGATTCAGATCTACTCTTGGTTCTTAATTTACCGACAAAACAGTTTATTAGCAAACAATTAAAATGTAACAGTAATTTACATCATCATGGAAAACGTTGGTGTGTTGTTACTAATCCGGCATAAATATTAAGGACTCCCTGACAGCACTGTTGGGTTTATTATTTGTCCAGTTTCACTTAGTGCCCAATTAAACCAAACCATACTTAGGTGAAAAGCTCCAAATGCTGCAATTTGCACTTCAGTAGAGGCACTCCTAATAAATGAACTGGAGACAGCCCTGGGTTCTCTGAGTTCACTGACACATCTTTATTACTCTGAACAGAAATCTTAACCTTTTATTACAAATTCAGAGTCACACTTTTGCAAACTGAGATAATTGGGACCAATTAGGACACGTCTGTATTAAGTTTTACTCTTTCAAGCCAATTGTCTCTCCTGCTCATTTGGCTTAACCAAGAGAAAGTGCATTTGGGTTACAGATTGATATGAAACTGCTGCTTCTGGGGGGTCAATGGTGTCACTCCTAATGGTCCACTGTAGAGCAAACACACAAGCCTCATCTAACCCCCGTTGTGTTGATGTTTTATAGACAGGTCTCAGTGTTTTCAGAGTAAGAAATGTTGGAGTGATTAGTGTTGGATGAAATGTCACATTTGTTTGGGTTGTATAGCTAAACCTGAGGACTGATCTACAGTGTTTTCCTTCACATTCATGTTACGTCAGAGTATAGAAGGTTTGTAAACTGCTCTGTCAACCTTCTAAAGCTTGTGTTTGATCAGACTCATTCAAGAGAGAGAGAAAGAGGGATTCAGTTTGATTGAAAGAATCGTGGTAGTCTGGGAGAGCGTGTGACTTCAGAGTGAAGTGATTATTAGCCAAGCTAAGAGATACCAATGAATCACAAAAACACTTAATCTTCAAATAGCTTTTCATTACAATTTTATAGACTGTGAAAGTGTTATGTAGCAATCCACGCTGATACCCTCATTTCTCTTCTTTCGTATTTTCTCTGTGCCACTGTCTTTGATTCAATTTCTCCTTAAAGCTGTGTATTGCTGTAAATTAATTCCATGTCTGCTGGGATTCTTCCATTCTCCAGAGGGTCATCTATAATATATGAGGGGGTAAATGGTTGGGACCTGGTGAAAGCAGAGGCTAATGTTAGATTACAGCAGCTGGAAATGACCCAGCAGGTTAGGAACAGCAGATAGCGGTGCCTGGCAGTAATAAGCCACAGCGGGATTCACAGCAATGCATCAGTGGGCCCCGCACCTAAACACAGACAGCGCAATTAAACACAAAATGGAAACCAGTGGTGCACATCAGAAGCCCAAAGTGGTGTGAATGGAGAGACAATGAAGTGTGGTCATCTGAGAGAGGGAACATTTGCACAATGCCTGATGAGTTTTTTAAATGATAATCTGCATATTTGAGATGCTAGGGTAAGGGTTAGGTAGGGACTTTAACTTTACAATTCATATTATAACGTGCACCAAGTTGAATTTAAATGTCTACGCCGAGCTGCCTGCAGAATGTTAAGATGCTATTTCGTTCACTTTTCAGCTGAAACAATACGAGCAAACAGAACCACTGATAACAACCATATTTGTTACCTTTAATGTACGTTGCTGGGAGATAAGGCATGCAGCAACTGTATTCTCTGTGCCTTGGCTGGATAATAAAATAAGACATTAATTTATGCTGCGAGTAGGTTGATCATGTCCTTATTTGCTCACATTATGATGTCTTGTTTTTAGGATAAATGTAGATGTGGAAAATCTGTGACATGTGGTTAATCAGAAAATAATGCACCATGCAGAGCACAATATGTGCCATCACTGCATGGGTCTAAATAACCTCAGAAATCTCAGTTTGGTGTCAATTTGCTTTTAATCTGAAAGACTGTCTTTAAAGGACCACCCTGTCTACCACCCAGTAGCCAAGACGATTCAGTCATCCAGATGTTTATGAAGGCAAATTGCTTCTGAGAATCTGAGGATGTGTAGTTTTAACTAGGATTTGTATTGATTAATCCAAATAACCAAGGTATGATTAGCAAAACAAAGTATAAGTGAAAAGTGTTTTCCATTAATATAAATAGAAACTTTACACTCCAATGCTACCTGGAAGTTGAAGCCTGGAAACAGCAAGTGACCCCCAGAGAGGCCCAGACTTCCCTCTCCCCAGCCACCTACTCCGTGGAAATCCCAAGGCATTCCCTGCCCAGCTGAGAGATATAATCCCTCTAGCTTGTCCTGAGTCTTACTTTAGGTCTTCTCCTGGTTGGACATGCCCAGGCAGGCCTAGGCAGGACTCTCTCTCAGCCTCTGCGTTCAGAGTCCAAACATGCAACATGTCTGCACTCAGCCAGCTTATATGCAATTATGGCTTTAATGACAAGACTGAAGTTATAGTCTTTGGCAACAATATGGATGGATGTTATTGCTCAGCTGGACTCCAGGGGAATAAAGACAAAAACCCCGATTAGAAATCTTGGTGTTATCATTGACTCCGACCTGAACTTAAGGCTATGACTAAATCAGCGTTTTATCACCTTCATCAACTATCAAGAGTCAGAGGTCTCATGTCCAGGACAGACTTAGAGAAACTTATTCATGCTTTTATTTCTAATTGGCTGGACTACTGCAACGGTCTTCTAACTGGTCTTCCCAAAAAAAAGCTGTGAAGCAACTGCAGCTTGTTCAGAATGCTGCTGCTAGTGTCCTAACAAGAACTAAGAGAACAGAGCACATCACTCCTGTTCTTAGATCCCTACCAGTAAACTACAGAATATATTTCAAAGTGCTCGTACTAGTTTATATAAATCACTTAATGGCATGGGGCCAAAATACATGTCCAATCTCATTCCTGTATATACACCCAATAGGGCTCTGAGATCCCTTGGAAACAATCAGGTGATAGAAAAACGGGTCAGAACAAAACAAGGTGGAGATGCATTTAGTTGCTATGCTGCTCACATATGGTATAAGTTTCCCCAGGACCTCAGATCTGCCCCAACCCTAGTGTTGTTTAAAACAAAACTAAAAACCCTAATGTACTCACCAGCCTTTAAATGAATTGTTTCTTATCATGCATCATCTCCACTGTAATCTGTGCTGTAACTTGGTCT